CCGGCAAGCGGAAGGTCGTGGGTTCAATGGTCATGATCATCTTCGCTCTGGCTTTTCTGTCATTCTGTTCATCTAGCACTTCTTTACTAGACAAATCGACGCCTTCGAGGATCATAAAATTTTCAACTGCAAATGCCCAGTCGTCATAATTCTCACGCCCTTTCAGTTTAGGAACGTTTACTGAGTAATTTCCTGACATTTTACTACTGAACACTGCGAAAATACTTGATAAAAACTGATAAAAACGGGTCTGGGCCCATAACCTATTGAAACTACACAATGGCGGATAACAGACTGCTTTTATTTTATTTCTTTTCCATATTTAAACAGGTTACAGAAGCTATGACACTAGGTGGCGCTAGTTTAATTCGTTACACTTATAACAAGTAGTCCGTTCTGAACCACTACACCAAACGGCCGACGAATTGTGTTTAAAATTACAGGTTGAGCATTGAGTTGTATTTCATTGTTCAATTATGTTACAGCCTCAGGCTAGATTTATCTTTAGGGTGTTCTGCCTATTTATGTCTGCACTTTTAAAAGACTGTAAATCAGATGGTTAAACGTCGGTTTGCATTATGAGTTGCCATAAGAGTTTGGTGTTTTCAAAGAGGAGCCTGAAAATTACTTTTAGAACAGTTAAGTTTATTCAAGCCGAGTTTGACCGACCGTCTTAATCAAACTGAAAATATACTCGTACATAAAGTTCAATAGCTCAACAGAGTCGGTGTCGGATTGGCCAAATCGAGATCCAAGGAACGCAGGTTCGAACCCCGTCGCTGCACTGGACTAATTTGGTAGATCCACTGGTATTTTAAATTACCACGAGGGGGTTTTAACTGAACTATGAAAATATAAATTACTTTACAAGAAAATGATCCACATGGAAGGCGAACCCAGGATCTTCAGGTCCCCCCAAACTACTAAAACCGTTGGTCAAATAATGATTATCCCTTCTGAAAAACATTCTTTATCATGGCCATAGACTCGATCCTTCCCGTTAATCTGGAAAGAAGTTGGATGATAACTGACCANGCAGTTTATATAAAAAATAGATCACCAGCAGCAGGATTGGAATGCGATGTTACACCTTTTGAAGTATGGACGGGCAGAAAACCGAATCTGAGTCACCTGCGAATTTTCGGTAGTCCAGTAATGGTCCATGTTCCGAAAGAGAAGCGCAGTAAATGGGATAAGAAAGCAAACAAGATGATCCTAGTTGGCTATTCGGAAAACACAAAAGGCTATCGCTTATACAATCCAGATCAGCGGAAAATTGTTATTGCCAGAGATGTTGTGGTCATGGAAAACTCTAATCAGAACATGAAGGACGAGGATAACACAACCAGCAATCTGCCAGTAAAGAATAGTGAAGATAACCAAGGATTAGACCACTCTCAAGACCAAACTCTGGGCAGTCAGACAGATGTCACAGATGTTGAAGGACATAATGTAAGTGATCCAACTTATGTTCCAGATTCAAGTGAGTCTGACACCAGCTTTCATGACACTATGAGCCCCGAGGAAACTCATGTCACTACACAGCCAGATGTGGAAAATGTTCCAGAAAAACGTGTAAGAAGAAAACCAGATAGATTCACATTTGCTAATATGTGCGTGGAGGAAGTGACAGGGGAACAAATTTCATTAGATGAAGTCATGAATGGACCTGAAAAAGAGCAGTGGAAAAGTGCAATTCAAGATGAGTTGAAGTCTTTCGATGATAATGGCACTTGGACACTAGTGGATAGGCCAGATAATGCTACCATAGTCAAGAATNTTAGTACGACCGTCGCGATACGACACGGCAAAGGTTATGAGTAATTAGTATAATTACTAATTACAAGTCTACACGTTACGTATACATACATATTTACCTACCTACAGTATCGCATTGTAATTAATTGTCTTGCTAATTATTCATCTGTCTTCACTTCACTGCATTCGAGGGAAGTCAATAAAATCTTTATTGCACATCACAAAAAACTGACAATAAATTGGAATGGAAACAATTTAGGCATGTAAAATATAGAAAAAAATGTAAGGAAAATGAGTGAATGAAAATGAATAGATTAAAAAAAAAAACTTTTATTCAATTACAGGAGTAGAAGTTTATAGTTCTTGCAACTCACGAAGGCGAGTGAGCTTTAGATGTGTGTGTACGTGTACATGCACATATCGATAGTGTCTATCAAGACTTTTGAAAAACTAATAGTAGCGAGCCACCACATTATGTAAAGCTCACTCGCCTTCGTGAATTGCAACAACTATACTTAGATTGCCTTAGCTATTCAGTCAAACGGATACAAAATGATGTTTCGTTTAACAAAAACATGGTTTACTAGCTTTCCGCCCGCGGCTTCGCCCGCGTGGAATTTTGTCTGTCACAGAAAAACTTTATCGCGCGCGTCCCTGTTTCAAAAACCGGGATAAAAACTATCCTATGTTCTTTCCCGGGACTCAAACTATCTCTATGCCAAATTTCATCAAAATCGGTTGCGAGGTTTAAGCGGGAAAGCGTAACAGACAGACAGACAGACAGAGTTACTTTCGCATTTATAATATTAGTTGGGATGTTAAGTTTTAGATTAAACTCGAGTTAGAAATCGCTTTAAATGCCATGCATGCAGCAAACATACACACTTTTACTACGCAGCTACGTATTGATATGGATCTAATAAAATAAAAGCAGAACCAACACTTTCCCCAACTCTGTTGGTTGTTTACTATTGTACAGCTAACTACTGGGAGTTACAGAATGAGATATTTGATCTACGAAACTATTCTAATATTATTAAGGCATACATACATACAGGAACAACAAAATGTTTTATTATTTGGAAAAAAACTGGTCTTAAATTCAGTTGCAGTAAAGTCAATATAAAGCTTGTAATAAAACAAACATATTACAGACTCGAACTCTAGAATGTTGGTTCTTTGAAGGAATTCGATGGAAGACGCTTCCATCTTACTAAAGTACCTGACCGACGGAGTTTTTCCATAGATAAATAGATGATATCTAGTCTTTGCTCAAACGATTGCCCTTGTACTTTTCCTGGCACCTTATAGGTAATTTAAGGTTATCAATCATGCTCAAATTATACATCAGAGACAGATTCAAGGATATTTTAGAGTATCAAGGTAAGTAAAAGTAAATATAAAACCTACGCCCTACGCTCTTCCTTGTATATATAAATGACCTCTGCTCTCTTAACATCCCGAACTGCAGGGTTATCTCGTTTGCTGATGACACAGCCCTTGTTTTCACTGGTGACACCTGGGATGAAACCTTCCAGTGCGCTCAACTTGGGTTCGATATGGTTTCTCATTGGCTCCGAGCTAATCTTCTCACTTTAAATGTTAAGAAAACCCAATATCTTTCCTTCTCAATTAGAAATATTTCCCCAAATGTTATTGATAACTTTCGTATAGTTGCACACTCTCACTCTGATCCAGCCACATTTCCATGCAACTGTCCTATCCTTAGTTCTTCCGAATCTATTAAATACTTAGGAGTGATTGTAGACAACAGACTTACATTTCAGGCCCACATTAGCCAGACCGCTGGTAGGCTACGCAAACTGATGTTTGTTTTTCGAAATCTACGCCACGTTGCAGACCCTAGCCTGGTCAGGACCGTTTATCTGGCTCTCTGTCAATCGCTCCTACTATATTGTTTAACTTCTTGGGGAGGTGCCTGTAAATCTGCTTTGATTAAGTTGGAGAGAGCCCAAAGGGCAGTCCTCAAGGTCTGCACTTTTAAACCTTTGCAATTTCCAACTTATGACCTGTACCAATACTGTGAAGTACTCACAGTACGCCAGCTTTTTATCCTCATTACTGTGTTAAAACAACATCAAATCTCTGGATACGATCCCTGCGTCCAGACATCACGACGGAATCATCTAATAATTCGCTCATCCTCCTTCAAGACTGTTTTCTCACAACGTTTTTTCGGTTTCTTGGGTCCATTTCTGTATAATAAGATTCATCGTAACTTGGATATATACTCTTTAACAAAATTTGAACTGAAATCAAAAGTAACAAAGTATTTGCAATCATTAAATTATATAGAAACAGAAAATATTATTCTCCCACTTAGATAGACAAGAAAAATTCACTAACACAACTCAACACATAAAACACACACAACACACACACACACACACACACACACACACACACACACACACACACACACACAAGCGCGATCTCAAACATTTCTTAGAGTGCTATATTTTGTAATTCGTAACTTTTTATCTCCAATTTTGTAGACTTTTTTGCGTGTTTCTAACATTGTATGTACAAACGGATCCTCCGAGAGTTGAGAGTACTGGTCTCTGTAATACAGGCTCCTCGCCTAGCTCAGACACCAGTCTCTCACAATCTATTATATACATGATGTACTATTTTTATTGTAATAATTTTGTGTCAGTTAGATTGTGGAGAAAAATAAAGATTTTTATTATTATTATTATTATTAAAAGTTTTATGTAGTTAAATTAGAGCAGTGCACATAAATATGATTTAAAACCGTCTCGAGTGTGCTAATAAGTTTAGGGTCTGGTGCTTCGAAAATATTTTGAAGCATTTGGGTCCTACTTACCTATCTATGCTTATATATTATAAATGTAAGTAACTCTGCCTGTCTGTTACGCTCTCACGCCTATGGTCTCGAGTGTGCTAAAAAGTTTAGGGTCTGGTGCTTCGAAAATATTTTGAAGCATTTGGGTCCTACTTATCTATGCGTCTCATCTCGTCTTACGCTCTCACGCCTAGAGGACCTAGATGAAGAAAGCATTGGCTACCCTACCACAAAAATAAAACTTAGGACATGAATAAGAGTTGAAAGTTTGTGTTCCTACACATACAAACTTTTATGGGGAACAGAATAAACGATATGAAAACTCAAATGGTTTCGGTAATAAACACGCGCTTGCTAAGACCTTGTGTTGTGACTCGCAGAAATCCTCGCCAGCATAGACAGGGGCGGAAACTAGTAATTTAAATAAAATAAACTTACCAACTAAGGTGTACTTGATGAGGCAGGGGTGGCACAAGCTCGTTATCGGCTGCCAGTGCTCATTGTTGGCGACGTCTGCCAACTCCTCGGACTTGTTAGTGAGGAACAGAGCGAATTCCCTGAACGTGACGTCATGGCCCAACTCGAGAGACTCGTTGGACGGGTTCTCGCGGAATGCCTTGATGATCCGTCTGCCCACTCTGTCCTGGAACGTCAGATCTTGGTTAATCTTCTTTCACCAGACTGTACGACGTTCTTTTGTTTTTTTACGGCTATTTTTTTTATCGATCAACTTCTGCGGTCTTATTAGGTCGTAAACGATGCAACCAAGTGTTTTAACACTGCAGTACACGCGCCCCTTTTTTTACACGAATACACGCGCGGCCTACTCTGGTAAGCCAATTTAAAATCACTGCAAATCAGTTTATAAGCAATTTATGAATAGAATTACTATGTAAATGATAAAAGTGTTTATTATAGTTATTTTATAATAAAAGTTTCTTTATATAACTATTTGAGATCAAACATTATAAACAGATTTAAAAGTTGTAAATTTTTTGGACCAAAATTGCACTCTGAGACCAATGTTAACAAAAAAAAATTACTGAAAAAATGTGATTAGTTTTTTATCTGTCATAGTATTCATGACTTCCTACTGCCTGGTACACGGTGTAAATCCATTTGTTGCAAGTCTTTCATAATTTTTTTGTCGAGTGATTTCGGGCTTTTGAGTAGACCCGCAGTTTTGACGGCCAATTTTCAACCGACTTCAAAAAAAGGAGGAGGTTCTCAATTCGACCCGTATGTTTTTTTTTTTTTTTTTTTAAGTATCAATCATGGTATACCTACATAAATATTAATTCGTCCTAATAAATAAGTAGGTTATTAGTAATTATTTTTCTACTTTTTAATGTAGGTTTTTTGGAGTCGGTTTTATTTTTTTTTATAAAATTTTACTTATAGAAAAGTGCGTAGACTCTGGCGACCCAAGCTTTACTGGCTTACTGACAAATTTAGTAAACGAGGCTTTCCTGGAATGCCAGCTCTCTGGTGCAAGTTTTCAAAAAGTTATAGCGTAAAATGTTACCCTGGTCTACTATAGTAGTCCGCGCGTGTACTCTAGTGTTAAGGGGAATCAATAATTTCATTTTTTTTTTCGTTAGTACTTTTTGATATGCTGAGGCGCGCGTTTCTATGCCAGACCATGCCGAATTAATGGAGGCAAAGCCGCGGGAAGCAGCGTGTTTTTATATACAGTTTCTATGCGATGAAAAATGCATGTGAGACCGAGTCTATACCCTTATGGCAGGGCTAGGAAGCAACACAAACAAACTAGTTTCCTCGTTTCCAGGCGTGGTTTTGATAATATGTTGGAAAATACGACACGCACAAAATTTTCCTGCTGCTAGCTTGCTTCAATTTACTTAGTAGCCAAACGATAATTCAATGTTTAAATTAAAATACAAGGGGGTGATAAAAGGTCAGCATTATCTTTATAATACATGATTCTGAAGTATTACATTTTAGTTTAATCAAGCACCACTAAATTTTAAACATAGTTATTTTTAATTCTGTACCTACCAAATTACAGTTACTTTTCTGATTACTAGTCAAAAAGTCAATCTGCTGACTCAATTTCTTATCAATTATTGAAATTAATTATCAATGAACCTATTATTGTTTATTTAATGATAACATCCCTCCGAGCAGTGAGATAGGTGCGTATGATAGGCCCACAGTGTTTCAAAAGTTAAACTTATCAGCAAATTGCAGTGGCATATTGTCCATTCATTTGTCATATTAATATGATGTATTTGATTATTATTAAAAGCTCTATTGGGCCTCAAGTCATAGGTTCCTTCAGTATTATTGTTTCATGACTCTCCAAGTAAACTTCATTAGTTATTTGAATTTGAGATTTAGGATTCCTAATTTACTGTCAAATAATTATTGTATTCTGTAAATTAGAAATGATCATACTATACTTATTTAATAACTTTTGGGATAGCCAACATAATAAGAGAGTACTCTAGAACATAAACTTGGGTTTCAAGGACATTTCCCTACAGGATCTAAGCTGGCATGATGCTGACAGTTTTATAAATTAATTAAGATCTAATTGATCTGCATTTAATCTATTGTGACAAACTTAGAAAAAATAACAGGCACTTACTTGAAAGTATCTAGCACTAGGCAGATCTCCCTNTTTATAGCATTATATATAAGTAAGACAATTAAAGTTAGTAGGTAACTGTGTGATTTTTAGTGATAAAATATTTGGCAGTCCATGTAAGTGCTGTATTGCCAAACCATATCTACGCCAGTATGCACAAACGATGCTTGCTTAAGTGAAGCAGCAAATCGAACGCACAGCGTAGAATAGAGCTCTGTGATTGGTTCGTGCGTTCACGCGCACTGTGATACCTTATAGTAATGTTTGTGAATACGGACGTCAAACCACTACTAAAAACTTTCCTACACACTCCTATATGATGCTTTATGTTACGAAGTTGCTTTGTTAACTAATAAACAATCGTAAAAACATGTTTTTCTGAGCTAATTAATGCTGATCAAGAATCAGACCAATATTGTCTTACGTCTATGTGATATGACGTTTACATATTAATAAAAGCCCCCAGAAAATTTTATACAAAATAAGTGATGCGACTTGTAATTAATCTTCACAGAATACCCATCAGTATAAATAATCTATACTAATATTATAAATGCGAAAGTAACTCTGTCTGTCTTGCTTTCATCACGCCTAAACCACTGAACCGATTTTGATGAAATTTGGCATAGAGATGGTTTGAGTCCCGCGAAAGGACATAGGATAGTTTTTATCCCGGCTTTTGAAACAGGGACGCGCGCGATAAAGTTTTTCTGTGACAGACAAAATTCCACGCGGGTGAAGCCGCGGGCAAAAGCTAGTAATTACATAAAGGAAACCATACTAATTACGATAAGCTTAATGGTTATTGTTCTTAAATAAGCCAATAATGAAACATTTATTGGCCTCTAACCACAATAATTCCTTTGATAAAACAAATTATTTGCGTTTTAGTACGACCGTCGCGATACGACACGGCAAAGGTTATGAGTAATTAGTATAATTACTAATTACAAGTCTACACGTTACGTATACATACCTACCTACCTACAGTATCGCATTGTAATTTATTGTCTAGCTAATTATTCATCTGACTTCACTTCACTGCATTCAAGAGAAGTTGATAAATAATATCTTTATTTATTTATTTTTTTTATCCACAACGAGGAAGCTCTTGCATTTAATCTTGAATTGCACATCACAAAAAAACTTTTAATCTGGGGAAATACAAAAAATTGGAATGGAAACAATTTAGGCAATATAGAGAAAATGTAAGGAAAATGACCGAATGAAAATGAATAGATTTAAAAAAATAGAACTATTCAATTACAGGAGTAGAAGTTATAGCACATAATAATAATAAGTACTACGTTATAGTTCTTGCAAATCACGAAGGCGTGTTTACGTGCACATTGCACATATCGATAGTGTAATGCCTATCAAAGTTCAAAACTTTTGAAAAACGAATAGTAGCGAGCCACCACATTATGTAAAGCTCACTCGACTTCGTGAATTGCAACAACTATACTGAGATTGCCTTAGCTATTCAGTCAAACGGATACAAAATGATGTTTCGTTTAACAAAAACATGGTTATGCTAAGTGTTATGTTAATTTTTAGACAAAACTCTAGTTACAAATCGCTTTAAATACCATGCATGCAGCAAGCATACACACTTTTACTACGCAGCTACGTCTTGATATGGATCTAATAAAATAAAAGCAGAACCAACACTTTCCCCAACTCTGTTGGTTGTTTACTACTGTACAGCTAACTAACTATTGGGAGTTACAGAATGAGATATTTGATCTACGAAACTATTCTAATATTATTAAGGCATACATATACAGGAAGAACAAAATGTTTTATTATTTGGAAAAAAAAACTGGTGTTAAATTCAGTTGTAGTAAAGTCAATATAAAGCTTGTAATAAAACAATGTACCTATATTACAGAATACAGACTCAAACTCTAGAAAGTTGGTTTATTGAAGGAATTCGATGGAAGACGCTTTCATCTAACTAAGGGCGATTCGTAATCGGCTGTCCCGGCCGATTTTTTCAAAAAGCAATTGAAATATTTAAAAAAAACACACTTGTAATGAAACTTTAACCCCAAAACTTTACGGGCCCTTTGTTTTTAGAACCATAACTATTTTTAATTTTTTTCTAGACTCGATTGAAGCCCGAAAAATACAGTCCCCTGGCTGTCCCCATCACTGTTTTTCATCCTAGAAATGAGATTTACGAAGAAGATATTGAAACTACATACATCTGGCAGCTCATAGCATAAAGAATAATAATGAAATTATATTATTTTCGTAAAACAAGCTCTCATTACCAATTTTATTTATTTAGTAAACTCCTGTAAACTTTGTCCCCAGAATTTTAATACAGTCCCCTGCCAAAAATTTAAATTCATAATATAAAAAAACTATAATAGCTACGATGTTTTTTTTGAGTGAAATGAAATGCAATTGCTATAAAATAGGCAACCTTGCCGAATGCGGCGTTGAGATGCCTATTTTTTTAGTGTCAGAGCGTCATTTGTGAGGTGAACACGCGCTTGAATCGCTACCACACACAGTCCTCTGGTAAGTCATAATATGCATGTTAATTACTTAATAATCTCTAAATAAAGTATAAATTGATATAATATTTACGTCTCAATTGATCGGTAGATTCTTAAAACACTATTTAACATCATTTTCGTAAATATTGTGAAATCTAGCCGAAATACACAGTCCCCTGGCAACAGTCCTCTGCCTGAAATTGCACAAATATGTGCATCAGGTCGCAAGTATTTATTCCTGGTCCATCCTCGGCTTTCCAAATAAATATAAAACACTAACAATGAGGCAGCAAGGTTCTGGAGTAGAGGCCATGTACCGGAAAACGCAGCAAGAGACAAGCGACACCGAGCCACCTTGTGGGTGGACCGACGACCTCATAAAGGTAGCAGGAAGGCGTTGGATGCAGGCTGCTCTACCAACTGTGCGATGTGGAAGTCATTGGGGGAGGGCGGGAGGCCTATGTTCAGCAGTGGACGTCCAGTGCTAAAATGATGTTGATGACTAACAATTAAAAGTGTCAGCTGCTTTTGCAACAGTGGTTCTTGTGAGCATTATAACGGAAAATCTTTAATCTACTGAACCTGAATTGACCACAAATTCCCCTCAAAGATTTGATGATGAAATAGCAGGAACGGGTGGTACTCGGAATTCAGTGCCTCAGAGGTTAAGGTTAATTTTTGATATGAATGTTTATTAAGGAAAGTTGTTATTTCTGTTATTTTTTTATAAAGACATTTTGTTTACCATTGATTTGCTATAAAATAATAAATAATTGATCAATTTAAAATGACTTTTTCTTAAAGTATAACAGTCCTCTGTCTCAATGAACAGTCCCCTGTCATGATTTCTTGGAAAATCGCTAATAACTCGGAAAATATTATAAATTTCAGTGGGACTCCTTATCTAACTAAAATAATAGTCAATTTTCTTTGAAATAGATCACGGTTTTTTGGAAAATGTTAAAAATAATTGCCAGGACAGCATTTGTATGGGACCTGTACGAGCTTACAGAGAAATGCCCCTAAAGTACCTGACGACGGAGTTTTTCCATAGATAAATAGATGATATCTAGTCTTTGCACAAACGATTGCCCTTGTACTTTCCCTGGCACCTTATAGGTAATTTAAGGTTATCAATCATGCTTAAATTATACATCAGAGACAGATTCAAGGATAATGTTAGAGTATCAAGGTAAGTAAATATAAAACTTCTATGTAGTTAAACTAGAGCAACGCATACAATTAATATGATCTCGATCCGTCTGGGATCTGGGTGTGTTAAAAGTTTCGAAGTATTTGGGTCCTACTCATTCATATAGTACTTTAATAAATGCGAAAGTAACTCTGTGTCTGTTACGCTCTCACGCCTATAGGACCTAGATGAAGAAAGCATTGGCTACCTTATCACAAAAATAAAACTTAGGGCATAAATCCAATCCAATTATGCATGCATAAATATTATTATTTTCATAATTTTTCTTTTTCGTTGTGGACTGACAGTTGAGGTCGCATATGATTAAACAATTTTGTTAACTTGTGACAAAAGATTGTCTACATGACAGGCTTAGCCTAGCGTAGAAATCTCAGTTACTTTATGAACTGAAGCGTATGTCGGTACAACCTTAGCATTAAACGGGTCTTTAAGGAAATGTATGTACAACAATGCAATGTAAGCAATGTAAAAAATGTTAAAGTTGTTAAATAAACTTTTATTTTATTTATTATTTTATTTATTTTAAATAAGGGTTGAAAGTTTGTACGAGTATAGGAAACTCATAAAAACTTTTATGGGGATCAGAATAAGCGATATGAAAACTCAAATGGTTTCAGTAATAAACACGCGTTCGCTAAAAGACCTTGTGACGCGCAGAAATCCTCGCCAGCATAGACAGGGGCGGAAACTAGTAATTTAAATAAAATAAACTTACCAACTAAGGTGTACTTGATGAGGCAGGGGTGGCACAAGCTCGTTATCGGCTGCCAGTGCTCATTGTTGGCGACGTCTGTCAACTCCTCAGACTTGTTAGTGAGGAACAGAGCGAATTCCCTGAACGTGACGTCATGGCCCAACTCGAGAGACTCGTTGGACGGGTTCTCGCGGAATGCCTTGATGATCCGTCTGCCCACTCTGTCCTGGAATGTCAGATCTTGGTTAATCTTCTTTTGGCGGCAAAACGTCTCACTTAATGTCACCAGACTGGACGTCGCTCTTTTGTTTTTTACGGCAATTTTTTATCGATCAACTTCTGCGGACTTATAAATTGGTCGTAAACGATGCAACCAAGTGTTTTAAGGGGAATCAATAATTTCATTTTTTTTTCGTTAGTACTTTTAGATATGCTGAGGCGCGCGTTTCTATGCCAGACCAGGCCGAAATTAATGGAGGCAAAGCCGCGGGAAGCAGCGTGTTTTTATACAGTTTCTATGCGATGAAAAATGCATGTGAGACCGAGTCGATACCCTTACGGCAGGGCTAGCTAGGAAGCAACACAAACCAACACTAGTTCAAGGCGTGGTTTTAATAATATGTTGGAAAATACGACACGCGCAAAATTTTCCTGCTGCTAGCTTGTTTCAATTTACTTAACAAACGATAATTCAATGTTTAAATTAAAATACAAGGGGGTGATAAAAGGTCAGCATTATCTTTATAAAACATGATTCTGAAGTATTATGTGACATTTTAGTTTAATCAAGCACCATTCAATTTTAAACATAATTATTTTTAAGTCTGTACCTACCAAATTACAGTTAGTTTTCTGATTACTAGTCAAGAAGTCAATCTGCTGACTCAATTTCTTATCAATTATTGAAATTAATTATCAAACCTATTATTGTTTTTAATGATAACATCCCTCTGGCCAGTGAGATAGGTCCGTATGATAGGCCCACAGTGTTTCACAAGTCATACTTATCAGCAAATTGCAGTGGCATATTGTCAGTTCATTTGTCATATTAATATGATGTATTTGATTATTATTAAAAGCTCTATTGGGCCTCAAGTCATAGGTTTCCCTTCAGTATTATTGTTTCATGACTCTCCAAGTAAACTTCATTAGTTATTTGAATTTGAGATTTAGGATTCCTAATTTACTGGCAATTAATTATTGTATTCTCTAAATTAGAAATGATCATAATGTACTAATTTTTTAATAACTTTTGGGATAACCAACATAAGAAGAGAGTACTCTGGAACACAAACTTGGGTTTCAAGGACATTTTCCTACAGGATCTAAGCTGGCATGATGCTGACATTTTTATAAGTTAATTAAGATCTAATTGATCTGCATTTAATCTATTGTGACAAACTTAGAAAAAATAAAAGGCACTTACTTGAAAATATCTAGCACTAGGCAGATCTCCTTNTACTTATTTAATAACTTTTGGGATAGCCAACATAATAAGAGAGTACTCTAGAACATAAACTTGGGTTTCAAGGACATTTCCCTACAGGATCTAAGCTGGCATGATGCTGACAGTTTTATAAATTAATTAAGATCTAATTGATCTGCATTTAATCTATTGTGACAAACTTAGAAAAAATAACAGGCACTTACTTGAAAGTATCTAGCACTAGGCAGATCTCCCTCTAATTTGTTTCTGTATGCTGACAGCAATCTCTCAAACGGATTCCGGACAATGATCATCTTGTGGTAACTATCCAGCATGTAGTCCCGTTCCGGTTTTGGCACGCTGCTGAGGTTCCGGAACATACCGGGAGAGTGAGCAAGGGATGCCGGAATGTTGAGGACATCTGTATCGTTCCATTTTCCTGTCAGTATCATCAATATTCTCTTCCAATTAGTGCAGGCAACCTGTAGAAAAAAGTTAGTTTCTTTTTAAATTCTCATGATACAATTATGGCATGATCTGAATTCCTACATAATATAGAAAAAAAATACTAGCGTATTCTAAAACTTATTTAAATTAATCCAAGACCCGGTTTGCCTTGACCCTTACCTTAGGTACGTAACAATACAGCAGCTTGTGTGTCTCGTCGACTAATATGTGCTCGAACTGATTATCCGGCAGATTTTCTAACGTCCATCTTGGTGAAAATCGCTGGCATGACTCTTGAATTAGCTCCTGTCGAGCTAAGTTCATGGACTGGGTCAATTCCAACGAGTGTTCTCCAGTCAAGTCATTGTCGTCTATTTGACTTATTTCACCCACATGCTCACGTGCGCAGAACAAAATAATAAACAGCACTAGATTAACGTCCGACCCGCGCATCTTTCACCACAAATTAACATTACACACTGATTAAAACAAAAGAAAAGAAAACTTTCATCAAATCGGACCTAACTTTTTATGTAGGGCATCAAGTTATGCACTTCCGATGGAAAAAATCACAGAGTACAGTGTTGATTTTAATTAATTTACGAAGTTTCAGTGATAAAGTGTGGTTTAATAGTCTTAATTCATGTTGTAGAAATTAAACTTTAGCGTATTTTTGGCACACCGAACACACGTCCGCCACCACGAAACTTGAAAAAAAACTGACACTGACAGTTGCTGAACGAATGATGAACGAAGTTAGCACAAGTTGAGAAGAATGAATGAACATGAACATGGTATATTCGTTCGTAAGGTGTCAAGCACACAGCGCCGATATAATAAGTGGTTGTTTAGATAAAGGNGTATATTTCAGAAGGCCTTTAGATGTAGAAAAATGTCTGCTATGGGGCCAGTTCTAATTCACGTTTTGAAAGCAATAATTCCAATAAGTATTATATGAAAGTATAACACAATCATCCATGTATACGAGTATGTACTATGACGAGAATCTATTAATATAACTAAAATAAACATTGAAAAGGAAAGGATTATCCCTACGATGAACTACCCAAGCCATTAGCATTTTATTCGCTTTCATCATCATCATCATGATCATTATAGCCATAGGACGTCTAGTTGAACATAGGCCTAACCCAAGGATGTCCACAATGGCCGGTTGGTGGCGGCCTGCATCCAGCGCCTTCCCGCCACCCTTTATGAGGTCGTCGGTCCATCTTGTAGGTGGACTTATTGGGTCTTGTGGGTTTATTCGCTTTAGCAACTCATAATAAAACCCTTAAGAAGAAATAAAACTTTAACCCCTTTATTAATAAAAGTTACACCCTAGTTGAACTCTGGCTTAAATTGTCATTTGGTATGGAAATGTCATTTTAATCCAAGGTTCTTCCTAGGTGTAACTTTTTATTAATAAGGGGGTAACTTCTTTGAATAAAAATATTTATTTCACAATTATCCCTATTAATAATTATAGAGTTAAGGAAGGATGCTGGAGCAGTAAACCCTTCATGCCTCGCATAACCTAAGACCATACGATGGACACGAATGATACTTCAGTTACACAAAAAGTCAGTTTAGCTCAGAACGCAACCAGATCTGAGGCTGGTGGCCATAGTAAATGTTGTTCGTCTTGGTAAGACCTATCAAATGACACTACAAACATAACCATTGGAGTCGAATACCATTTTGCAAAAAAGATCTTCGAACACAACCAGATCTGAGGCTAGTGGCCATAGTAAAAGTTGTTCGTCTTGGTAAGACCTTTCAAACGACACTAGAAGCATATCTATTGGAGCCGGGTACCATTTTGCCCATTGTCCTTAATTGAAAATATTTTTTAAAATGAAACGTGGTACACTCTTGCTATGAATTAACCTTCGCATAAATAAAACTATATATTTTTTTATTTATTTATTAAAAATAAACTTAAACATACAATCGGTACAGGATTAGTGAAAAATTCAGAAATTTCTTACTAATTTGAAAATTATAAATAACTTGAAAAATTCGAACTGCCTAAGGCAGGAATTGAACCCACGTCCTTACTATGTTTATTATGCTTCACATTCATTTAGTTCAGCTTTTCGGGAATATTGGTCTGAAAAATATAATGAATATTCAATTTTATTTTTGAAATTCGTAAAAAAATACTATTCAACATTTTCAACTTTTAAAAACTAATTAAGTAGGTATTTACCCTGAGATGTTGTATGTAACAGACTTGATGATACTGATGTATCAGTGCGAAGGCTTCCTCGGCTACTGCAAGTTGGTTATGCTGCCATGCTAGCACTGCTAAACAAGCCCATAGTGTCTCATCTTCTACAGTTCGGCATAGCTGTTTTTGTAAAAATAAAAATTCTTTCATAAATACAGTCAATTTCACCCACGATAATTGCTTTTTTTTTTAAAGTACCTTGTGATACACTTCTATTATTGTATTGTATTTACCTGCAGAGCAGCTTGCCACATATTAGCAGCAACATGTTTCAGGAGCTTCTCAGGGAATGCAGCAAGGGAGACGTGCAAAATAGATCCATTGCCGCGACATATTCTTGCAACGCCATCCTCAATGCTGACGATTGTTGGATTACGGCCTAAGTCACTAAAACATTATGTAAAACAAAGTTACGCCAGTATAGTTTCACAATAAATTATTGGATTTAATCGAATATTTAGTATATTTTTGATTTTTTTGATTTTGACAATTCTGGACCCATTCTTAATAAGCTCAGATAAGTAGGTAGGTACACGTTTCTAATCACGGTTTAACTTGAATTTACACATTTACATTCGATTAGCGATTCAATCAACTTTAACTAGATTTCTGTCATTATCATAATATCTACTACACTTTCAACTATCCTACATGCATACGTGATGGAATGTATGAAACTTAACAAATTAATACAGTAAATAAGAAAGAATAAAATTGAAAATTATACACTTATGCAGCTAGCCCATACCAGACATAGACAACTTGCAACATTAGTTTTGAGATTGAGTGTTCAGCAGTAGTTATGTACTTACCTAATCTCCTTATTCACTGTGGTAAGAGCTAGCCAGTCCGGCTGAGTGGCCGCCCTTGGGCAACACCATGCAACAGCGGAATTAGCTCGTAGTCCCACCAGCAACTCCGTTTCTGCGCTCCAAGCCACGCTTAGGATTTGTGAACCTACAATGATTGCGTGGCCAAATTAAACTTAACATACTTAAGAGTGGCAATAGCCCAACTGTTATCGGTGCTGGATCGATAGACCGATCGAAGAGTATTAAGCCTGGAACTTACCTAGCTTCACAAACTTAGGCTTACTGTCCTTTACAGTGACAACATACAAGTCTCTGTTATAGTCCAGTAAAGCTAGCTGCCTTTCATTGATCGGTCCAGTCTGGCTCAAAGCTATGGATGAGACAGTCATCTTGTGGGATAGCTTCGTTACAGCGTTATCTGCTGAGCTTCGTACTACGATTCCAGTGGGGAGATCAAAAACGTGGATCACTGCAATCATTAATTCGTTCTAAGTGCTGTTAGTTACAATCAAAATAAACATTAAAATCACAACTTGCATTTCTTATCTGTCTGGTCTATGGCAGCCAGGGAATCGGGACCAAGCGATACTGCAGCTCTGCCCAGGGTTTCGGGGCGGGCTCCCCAACGAGGACTGGCTAGCAGCCGCCCCATGTAACTGTACACTGAGAGTCCGGCCCTTTCCACAATACAGAGACATCTGAAAATAAGATTCAAGATCTTCTACAGTCTACACTACAATATCGATGACCACTAAGCCTCATCATTGGTGAAACAAACTTTAACAGTTGCAGCTGTGAGCCTGTGGAATCGAATACGTTGCGGTAACTTTGGTTTATTGAGCACGAACATCATGTCTAACGTTGTATAAATTAAATTATTTACAATACTTATTTACTAAAATTATAAATCACAGACTAACTAACACGCAGTAGCAAACAAAAGATAATTATATCGTTTGAACTAATTTTTTTTTTAATAATAATAATCTTTGGACAATTTCACACAGCGCCAGCTAGCCCCAAAGTAAGCAACTTAATGCTTGTGTTATGGGTGCTAGCTTAACGGATATACTACTTATATACTTTTTTTTTTTTTAAATACATAAATATTATACATAGTCACACCCAGACCCGTCACAGAAATTAAAATTCATCATTTCAATTTCTGCCCGGCCGGGAATCGAACCCGGGACCTCTCGGCATAGTAGTACGTTCTGAACCACTACACCAAACGGCCGACAAAATTACTCGACATATTGGCCGACATATTACCAAGTAAGTAGGTACATTTAAGAGACCCGGAAAGATTAATGCGCATGTAAATACTTGAAAACGTACCTTTCTGCTAGAAGTATCATACTGATCGTCCCTTCCTTCAAATCAAACGTGACTGGAGTATTCCAAGATGTCAGTTTATGGATGAAGCACTGCTTCACCGTGGCGATCACCAAGTGGTTATATCCAAGGGCCATCTGTATCACTCTGTCTGGGTAATCCAGTTGGTCGCTCTGGTCGGTGATGATGTCTTTTATAGATATCACCTTCCTGCCGACTTGGGTGCATGCGAAATTTTTCCATGTGTACTCTCTAAAATGGTTAAACACGCGTTATTCTATCTTCCAGCCTCGTCAGCATCTAAAGATATTATTAATGTTTGAAGTAAATACCTATCAATAACATGTGCAAACAGCACATGGCCATTAGCACAAGCTGCAGCCAACTGGGTCCCATCAGATGACCAGGCGAGACTGTAAATACTACCTGTTGAAGGGCGATCCAGGCAGTGAGACCACTGTGAATGAATGTTGCAAAATTAAAATATTATGTAAGAACATAAATGTTATCAAAATTGTAGTTGGTAAACCTAGAATCAAGCGAAGAAAGAACATCTATTTTTATTAAAATTAATGTTATGTAAGTATTGTTACTTAGCAAGTAGGTAAATTGATAATAATTATGGCAGTATGCTTTAAATTGTAAAACACAAAAGCTTTGCACTGTGTCTTTCTGATAAACAACAATGGCGCTAAAAATAAATAATGAGGTCATACAAAGAGTAATGTCTAATCAACATCCGGTAGAGCGTATGTTCGTATTATGTCCTCATAAGACTATTTTTGTAGAATGACAGTATTTTTGTTCTTACTCCATTAGCGTTGCACAATCTGATCAGGTTGTAGCTGCCGATGATGAACAGGTCCCCAGCAGGAGACCAGCTAACGCTGGTGATAGGCTGGTCGTGTTTTACACTCACTGAGATCTGCTGGCCAAACGTGTCCCAGATCTGTAATAATAACCAACCAGCCAATTAAGTGTTAGATCACATAAGTGACCTTAGAATGAGCACAGGCATTGAATTTGACACTGAATTGAATAAAAATATTATTTCTGAAGACAATGCTACTTCACATCCTTGCAAGTGGAAAAATATTTTTATTATCTAATTAAATAAATAAAAAGAAACTAATCAGACCTTGGTAAGGCCATCTTCGGAGCCAGATATTATCAAATTGTTGTTGGCGTTCCAAGCTGCGCATAAAATCAATCCATCATGGGCCTTCCACTGAAAATAAAAATATGAATGCATTAAAATTATTTATTGGGTCTAGTTTTTTCGATACATGAGTCATTAATTACTTACACAAATGGCAAAGACAGTAGCGGCGTAAGGGGGAGGCGGTGGGGGCGGTCCACCCCGGGTGCCAAGCATCAGGGGGTGACAACAGTCGCGAAGATTAGTACTCACTGACGCATCTACATGACAAGGACGGTCGTAATGTCATGACAGGGGGGGTGCCATTCTGGGGTGANGGGGTACCAACCTATGCTACGCCGCCACTGGGCAAAGAAACAGTAGGTACCTACATACGAATAAATGCTATCATAGATTCCAAACGTTAAGCATGCATGTCTGCGTGTCTAAGTTTATTGTGTATGAAAAATTTTAATTATCTCTCGTAGTGAATCTCCCGCTCACAACTTTGGGTATTGACCTCCCGAGTCAAAGACCTCGTCTAATCGTTTGCTAATAATTGGGTGGTCTACCCAAAATACGGTTTACATAGCTACATACTATAATACCATAGATACAGTTATATTGTTGTTATGGATAATGGGTACCTATGCCATAAAATTGTGAGAGTTGACCCATCAAGTGAACAGAGAAACATAGATCGAAAAATTAGTCAACAATAAGTTTCGTACATTTCTGTTGTGTAGGTACCTATACCTATCTATAACAGATCAAGTTACAATTTTTTTATAAGACCCTGAGACGTCATAAAATTAAAAATCATCAAGCATAATAATCAAAACTTGTCTATCCTTCCTTACTTTGGTAATCTTAGTGTTCGAATTCAGCTGTTTGATGACGAGAAAGTTTCCTTTGGTGTAAAGTATAGCGCTGCTGTCGTGACTCCACACTGCATTGTAACACGGCACGTCTGACTGTACGATTGTAGATCGAAGCAGCCCGTTTCTGGACCAGACTTTTACGAATCCATCTTCACCAGCTGGAAATAAAGTCATCATGTAGTCGTCATTTGTCCGGTACCAAGGGATGGCGGTTGGTAGCCCGTTTGCTCGGAACCTTATTATTTGAGATACCTAATTAATATCTATAGAATTTATGTTAGGATCAATGTTTTGTAATGTCTTACCTGTTAGGAGTCCTGCGCCATCTGGACTCCACTGGGCAGTTAAACAAGCTCCTTGATGGGCATTAACACTTTTCTCTATGCGGCCATTGTGATTTACAATATGAAATCTGAAACAGAATGTATTTACATTGTTTAAATGCATTTTAATTCTGTGCCACACACTTTAATAAAATGCAAAATTAGTAACTCACTTTCCATCAGCAGAAGATATCAAAATAACATCGTGCTGATGTTTATTGCCGCCAACGTTAACTTTTGGGAACAAGTGCATGCCAGTTGGATAAAAGTCATCAGAAAATGTGGTGATGACCATACATTCGCTGTTCACTAAGTTCCATTTGAGGAGCTTGTGGTCATCGCTGAAAAGTTACACACGTTATATAAAAAAAGATTAAAAAAAAATGTTTTTTTTTTTACCAAAATAATTTAGTAACTAAGTAAACAGTTGAAATTTGTTGAAATTAAAAACGTAATCAATAGATGTAACAATTTATCCAAATCCATTCAGCCAAACAAACCAGTGTGCTCATGAGTAGGTAGTTACATTTTTTTAGCGTTAGCATTTAGCATTGAAGTATCCTCTCTATTTATTTGCACCTAGAAGGCTAATCGAAGTTCTTAATTAGCCAAGGTTCAGAATCCAGGATCAAAATATTATGGAAAATACCGTCTACTACCGTCTATAGTTTTTTTTACTATGAACTATGAGTATAAAGGAAGTTGATCACTCACCCACATGAAAAAACATCTTCAGTATTATTCCAACTTACACATACAACAACCCCAACATGCTTGGGTTCTTTAAAAGTTGATATTTTTAATTTCATATTGCAATAAACCAACAATGTTTATAGATGACCCACGCTGAACTGTCCCGCCAAACTCAATGACAGGGGGGCGCTACCATCGTTCAACTATATGGTTTCCAACATGGCAAAAATCTGAACCAGCCATCCGGTATTGACAGTGGCGCCCCACTGTCAATGTCATCGACAGGACAGTCCAGTATTTTGGAACTANCAACAATGTTTACTTTCGTTTTGGTGTGTTTTCGCATGGTAACCATGGTTACGAATTTCGCGCCATTTTTATTCACTGTCTTTCATGTCTGTGGTTTAGCGTGTCTATGGAATTTAGGAATTTATTTTTGGCGATATTTGGCTTTTATAAAAGATAACAAAACAAGAAATAAAGCGTTTTATTTATTGTACGAAACAAATTATTCGTATTTAAATAATACCATTCATTCATTTAACATCCGTTACTTTTAAGTTTTAATAAGCAATGCTGATTTCTGGACAGAACACTGAAATGTCTTATTTTGACGTTGACATTTACTGTCAAAGTAAATTCTCACATGTTCGCATTTGCACAAAACTCGCAAAATTTTGTATTAAACTCTCTAAAATAACCATGTCCGACGTACCAGACCTTAGCAGTGATGATGAAAACTACGAAGAAGACGATTGGCAGGAGATGGAGACGAGCAATACTATGGTGACATGCTTATTTTGTTCTGAAGTTCTACCATCTGTAGACGAAGGTTTTAACCACTGTGGCACAGTCCACAGCTTCAATTTGAATGATCTGAAGCTTAAGTTCAACATGGACTGTTATTCGTACATCAAAATGATCAATTACATAAAGACTCACAAGCCTAAACCAGACGACATCATTAACGGGACCCAGTCGCTTTGGGAAGATGAGAAGTATCTAAAACCGGTTGAAAATGATGAATGGTTGATGTTTGACTTCGATTCGCTGACAGAAAAGCCAAGTTCGCCGAAGTCCTACCATGCGAATGTAGAAAATGGACTAGTTACATTGTCACAAAGCCATTTCTTAGAGCTGCAACGAACAATACAGACATTAACTGCTCAATTAAGTGAGAGTCAAACGCATTTACAAATGGCTAAAGAAGATATCAAGAAGATGCAAGATTCCATGAAGACAATAGTGGACGCTGGACAGTCAAATGGTAACGGTGATGAAAAAAGTTTCATTGTGAACTGTGTGTCAAAAGTACCACTGGAAGATGATGAAGGTTACTTCAATTCTTATGCACATTTCGGCATTCATTACGACATGCTCTCAGATAAAGTTCGTACTGAAAGTTATAGAGATGCAATAATTAATAATAAAGAAACGTTGAAAGATAAGGTCGTTCTCGACTTAGGATGTGGAACGGGAATTTTGTCGATGTTCTCAGCAACAGCGGGAGCTAAGAAAGTTTATGCATTAGATCAATCAGAAATTATTTATCATGCAATAGATATTATCACAGAAAATAATCTGCAGAATGTGATAAAAACTATCAAAGGTAGACTTGAAAATACAAAGTTGGATGAAAAAGTTGACATCATTGTGTCGGAATGGATGGGATATTTCTTGTTATTCGAAGGAATGTTGGACAGTGTGATATATGCTAGAGACAACTGCATGAAACCTGGAGGACTGCTACTGCCTAACCGATGTAATATTAGCCTTGTAGCAAACGGAGATACTGAAACACACAATAAGCTTATTGATTTTTGGTCCGATGTATATGGGTACAAAATGAACTGCTTGAAATCTGAAGTGGTGAGAGAAGCAAGTGTTGACATCATCGGGTCGAAACATATAATATCAGAACCGTATATCATTAAAGAAGTGGACATGGTAACTTGTGGTACAAATACAATGGATTTTACATCTGACTTTAAACTACCAATCACTAGGGATGCCCAGTTGACGTCACTGGTTGGGTATTTCGACACCTTTTTTGATCTACCGAATAAAGTATCCTTTTCAACCGGACCTCACAAAACTCCTACGCATTGGAAACAGACAGTTTTTTATTTCCGTGACTGTAAAGAGGTTAAAAAGGGAGATGTTATTGAAGGGACAATTACCTGCAACAGGCTAAAAAGTAATGTCAGAGGACTATCAGTTCAAATCAATGTATTTGGGAAAAATCATAAATATTTACTAAGTTAATATTTTTACTATTTAGTCTTTAAGAATTATACAGGTATCTTTTAGATTGCTTCATGAAATTGCAAATTATTTGCATTTAAAATGTATCACCAGCTAATCAACCAATTACAAAATGTACATTTTCTCTAACAATTTTGAAATGTACTACTGTACTTTGTATAAGGTTCAAATTAATTCAGAAAATCACACAATTTGTATTAGATGAGCTAGCTAGTACTTTGTAGATTTTTTGTATGTTAACATGCATTTATTGTTAAGAATTTAACTTTTTATTGTTACCTTTTCAGATCTGTTGCATTTTTTAAGCTCTTAACTCAATACAACAATATAATTATTTGTGTCTGATTCTAAGATCAATTAAAATCATTGTATGACTTCTCTGATATAATAATATTAACTGTTGTTCTATTGAAACTGTTTAAAAGGCCATAAAATGTGCCAATAATATCTACACTGTATTTAGCTATAGAATGAGGAATAAATGAAAGGCATTTTCTACGAAAATCTTTATTTTATTTTACATAAAATTTACACATATCTAAAGGTGTTTTATCTCTATTTACACAATGTAGAAAAAGAATCTAAAGTTTTAAAAAAATCACCACATGACTTGAGATTTTAAGTTTATACATAAAAATAGTGAGAAAATGCTTTGTATTTTTGAGTGTACATTTGTTAATATTGTTTATTAAATGCATTAAAATTAGGTGAGGTGCGATAATACCTTTACCACACAGTTGTAATTACTGAAAGTGGTAAATAATTTCTTAAAAGGTACTTTATACTTGTTATAGGAGTCTTTAAAGGCTTCGGAATGTAGGCATATTTTATTTTAAGCAAACGTGTGTTAAGAAAAACATGCAGACAATAATTTAGATCTTGGGAAACTATACCCTATGTGTAGCACTGCAAGCTATTTACTGAAACAACAACAACAATGTCCATAAGGCTCAGTATGCTAAAACTACATTTTTATAAAGCTATATCCCCCAATTAGAATGGCATCAATAAACTACACTAGATTATATTGATCTTAATATTTATATTTCAATAAATCACTAAATGCACAATATACAGAATTCCTCATAATCTATCAAGTAATCAAGTAGATGATAAATATATATTTATATAAAAAGATCTATTGTTAATTTTTCTACAATAAGCGTCACCATGTTGGATTACATCTATCCTTAGAGTCCTTACACCCCTGAAATAATAAGATAGGGACCTAATATTACCGTGATTATGGGTTTCTTGATTTGATATTAATGAGAGTGGTCCCATGTTCCTACCAGGAAAACTAGGCCTCTGATATAAGTATGTAAATGTCCTCAAGTTCTTTTAAGAAACATAATAGTGAAGCATGTGACTGCTTTTGGAAAGATTGGTTTCCTATGTTTTAAAATGTACAATGTTTATTCCTTCGCCAATAGTCTCTAAGAAGGACGGTTAATTTACGTTGGGTCCTCCTTACCTATACACTTCGCCTGGCGCGATTATTTCATTTTTGCGAGCATTAGAGAACACTATTTATTTTCTTTATTTTAATTTTTAAGAACAAATAGGTACTTATTACGTAAATAGGGCTTACTAACAACATAAATAACATTTTATATTTTAGTAAACATAGCATCTAAGGTCTGAAATCTAGGCTTACTAAAATGCCTTTGTTAAGGCGATGTTGCCTTTTGGCATTCTCCTCCAGTTAACTTGAGTGTTTCACTTTGATTTTGTTTATTTATCTACATATTTTATTATTTTGCTAGCAAATATGAAATAAGAGCTATTTACCTAGGCTCTTTCCATTCTCATATTTTTTACAATAGGTTCTATGTTTCCATCGGCCTTATGAGCCCGTACGCTTTCTTTACACAGATTTGAGCGCAATTAAATAAAAAAGCAAGTTATTCGTAACCGAAGGATATTTCATTAGAAAATTTTATTTTTATGAAGATTTTACTAACTAGTTATAGGTATGTTCTATCGACCTATACCTAGAATTTGAAATTGCAATCATTTAGAAAATAATTTCATATTAAATAACATTTGGTCAGGAATATCAAGATCTCCAATTTAATCGGAAACATTTAAATTAATAAGCGTATTCTTCATATGGGTTAAATTTAACACTAAATTAAGCTAAGTTTATATTAATGTTACATTAAATTTTACTATAGGTATAAGGTGTTTTATTCATTGAAGAAAAGTGCACATGACTTTATGATATAATTTGCTCCATCACCAGCATTTTTGATATAGAAATACTTATAAGTAGTATTTAGCTCTTAGGTCTAATTTTGAAAATAAGTTCAGTACAATTTTATATAAATAGTTTCATTATGAGTAACGCAAACGCTAAGTTGCGTCAAGAAGCATTCAGTGGGCGTTTTATATGAGATTTTCTACTGAAAACTTAGCTAATTAGGTACTTATTTAATGAATCCTTGGCATGATGTTCGGATATACATGGGGCTCCCCAAATAATCTTAAATAGCGAATTACGGTAAATCTTAAACTACCGGCGTACGCCCGCTCAGCGGCTGGTCGCCGTAAGAAATTGGCTCACTATGTTGTCTTCCACATAGAGAATTATACATTGGTGCTCTGCCACGGTAGACATAAGTATCTACAGTAGCCTTATTATGTAACGAAGATATCACGTCTTACAGTTTTTCAGATAGTTCAGGGTTTCCGTATGTTTGGGTTCTATAAATTGCTGACAAAAGTTGCAAAAACTCATGTAGTCGAGCAGGCATTTTGGTATTAATTCATCAACACCCAATGTATTTTGGATTTCATTTCCTTTGCCTAAGAGTATGCGCACACCGTTGATTTTTAATTGGCCGATAGTTGTGCCCGATTTTAATTTGTATGAAGAATCGGCCAAATTGAATCGTCGTAGTGTGCGCACTCCCATACATGCCCATACTGATCAACTGCCCGACTAAACTATCGGCCGACGAAAAATCAACAGTGTGCGCCTACTCTAAAGGTGTAAATTATGTGACACTTTCGCACGTAGTAAGCTTACCGCACACACACTTATCCCGCGACATCGCGTTGTGCTTCGAACTTATTTGTGCGACACACATTGCAACGAATACAAGCTCCGCACACTTAAACGTTAAGCTTTTCTTTAACAGTGTTAAATACGCTGTAACAACTAGTTCTAACGCTATTTACAAGTGAGGCTAAATATTATTCTTCTGTCGGAGGGGGCGGGTTGTTGCTCTCCTCCTCCTGTTTGGCTCGGGCCTCTGCGTCTGGAATTTGAAAGGAAACCATCAACATCATTTTAGTAAATGGCAATCCACTGCTAAACGAAAACGAAAGCTGCTTTGTCATCTAGCCACTGCTAGCTTTTGTGAGGTTTTCGGTCCATCAACCAACGTAGGTCTTAAGTCTTTCTCAAGGAATTAAGCACGATTATTAAATAAAAGATAAAAATGTTATTTAAAAGATAAAAATGTTTGGGATACGTTACTGCCTAGCTCGTCTAGATATTTATAACTTTGTACATTTTAAAGCATGTAAACCTTTGAAAAAGAGGCTGACAATAGTGACTGAGTTTCTTGCGCTGCTTCTTCTCAGCACTGGCCCATTTATTGTCCTGAAGCAGTGGTAGGGTTAATACTGGGACGTGTAAAAGTGCTTTTTTTAAGCCTATTTACAGAAATAAATGAGTTTTAATGAGTTTTTGAAATCCTGCTTTTTAATCTAAGTAGCCCTGGCTGCCTCGTCTTTCGCTGAAATGTTCGGTCCATAGAGCAGGTGGACGTTCTAAATAATTTTTGCCCAGATACGGACTATTCCCACCTCTTGTTCCTACCGCTGCAACTCCTGTGTATTAATTAGCCAGGATCTACAGCTTGACCGCCGCAGCTTCATTCGAGACCCGTTTACTCTGCCTTTTCCGAAAAATCTATTGGATATAATAATCTATCAGATGAGGATCTGGTAGTATCCAGCTGTTACCAAAAGTAAATGAATTTTTACCTTTTGTAGCCTGTTCCTTCCATATTTTTTTATTGTCACTCAAGCAGGCTATCCACGGCTTCCGAATCTTGAATTTGGGGCTTGGTTCGCTCCCTGAAAAAATTATTCATAATTATGCATTAATAAATCTATCAGAATAGGTAAATAATTAATACCTAAAACGATGATTAGACAAATTCTCCAGTTTTTATTAACTTTAACGGCAACATTAGTTAATTGTATGTAGGTACCTACCTAAACCACGCTACTAAGCAGGTAGGCTTTAAAAAAGCTCAAGTGATATTTTAAAAAGGAGTGCAAAGTGTACAGTACCTTTACCTGTATTCTCCTCATTGATAGGCTCATGGCTTGTGCTAGTGGAATTCTTGGTATTCGAGTGCAAAGGGCCCAAGACACACTCGAGCATGTCAGCACACACCCCCATACTCGGTTCTACAATGAACTCAATGAACCCGATCTGGGATTCCGCGACTAGAGTGTTGTTTCTATCGCAAAGGGGACTGAAAGGCAGGCCCAGGTCTCGCTCCTTGTCCCCTTGCAAGAAGAACTCGTCGAGGAGACTCATCGTCCATCGGTGGTGGAGGTCCCATCTCTGGAATCAAATAAATTATGCACATAAGAAAACGCATAAATAAGTATTTAAGACATTATGATGCTTAGAATATTCAAATGAACTTTGCGTCAGAGAAAATGCTGGTTTAAAGTAAGGAGCTAAATCCTTGTCCTGAGCAGTTCTGTCTTGACAATAATCTTCCAGCACAGCGAAAACCAATTGATATGCAGTTAGCCTATCATTTCCATTGGGGATTCAAGGTAGATACTCATTTAGATGTCTTGACAGGTTTAGATGTGACCTTACCTTCGCAGGGTGAGATATATCACAGCAATGTAACACCAGCGAGGCAGCCTTGGACTTGTCCACGGTAGGCTCGGCGAGCGTCAGCAGCGACCTCATGTTCTTCAGCTGCTGGAAGTGGAACGACATGTCGGTGGCCAGCACCATGTCGATGACGAGGGTGCGGAACTCGCGGAACTCGTCCCGGGATAGGTTCTGCAGGATGTTGCAGTCTTCGTCGCGCATTAGCCTGGAAAAAGAAAGAACAATTATTGTTGAGTGAAATTACCTACATTGTTTATGATAGGTAGTCAAAATTAAAAGCATAAAAATCTGGAAAGCTTGGATTGACCAGTCCCCGAAAGCAGCGCCTGTTCACAGTCATGACGGACGAGCCAGTCACTCGATCATATTTTAGAGAATGTAACGTGCCTCACCACACCACCACCCCAGAGACATTTTAGTGAGAATGAACATTTACATAATTAGTTGCAATAGTGGGTTTTTGCAGAGAGTTAAGGCTAGGAGCAAAAGATCGTTTTATTTAATTCGGTCCGTGACCGTAGATCTCTATGGTCATAGGTTTACGCTCCGTGAACTTTACTTTGAAAGTTTTCTTCCATCGATCTCTTCCACCCATAGCTTGCCATTGCCATTTTATTTATTTCCCTAAGTAATTGACCACCAACCCATTGATAAATTCATGCTGAAGTATGTATTTCTCATCTAACTAATATAAACGCCGCAACCAATGAGTGAAGAATTCCTCTCCATGTATTTCTTCATCAGTTTAACCTACGCATGTCATACCTAAGTCAAGTTGTAACCCCTGTAAGTCGGGCGCATACGAAATCATCTGAGATGTCACCTAGATTGGGCGTTAAGTGGAGGCGGCTGGCAATTTATATTATAATGTGGGCCCGTGGTAATTTTCACCTCGATTGATGGATCGGCCCGGACTATTATTGGGGAAGAGGCCGGGATGGGCTGTAGACTTTATTTGGCTCAATTGAGTCAGACTTCGGGAAGAAGTGCGTCTTCCTTTTAAATTAATAGGGTACCTTTCTTATAACACGTTTAGGCGGTGTAAACTTGGAGCTGTTAGAAATATTTTTTTGAAATTACTCAATTACTTAATTACCAACTGATATCAGAGAACCGACACGATTACCTACTACGATCATTTAGTAGGTACATAAAGAATCTCATCAGTAGTACCTACCTAACTGTCTTGTGTAAATTGTAACAAGTATTCAATAGTAAAATATATATTATAGAAATACTTATTAACAAACTAATAATAACTCCAGTAGCAATAACTTTTCGGATCATCCGTACCTATTTAATTGTATCTAAATATCCTACGTAACTGTTAATTTAGAAACTTATTGGACCTTGAAAACATTTTATTAGAGTTTCTATCTCTAGGGACAATCTCAAGGCTGAGCTTTAATTCAAAATGATACTTTATACTTCGATATAGCTACAAAATTGTTAGAGTGTTTCAAATAAGCAATCATAATCTTTTAAAAACAAGACGACAATTTACTGCTAATAACTGCACGTCAAATAAAAATTCTAAAACCTTAATGGTTGATAGATTAATTTATATTTCATTGCAACGCCAATTTAGTGACCAATTCTGGGAAATTTTAATAAATTTTTGTCCGGACAAAATTCCTGATACCATATCTACGAGTATTTTGTCTTAAAAGGGAACGGGTATTTCAACAGATTTCTCTTGTCGCCATATGGTGTCAAAGGACAGCCAAGTTGTATGGGTTTGCTGGTGACAGGCTCATGACCTTTAGTCGCAAATCTGTTATCGCAAAGCTCTTATCTCTAAAGATTGTAATCTCCATCAAGATATTCATTCTGGGCTACATAACATTGGTAAAGAAGGTAGCCAACTAGTCTAGCCTAGTATATTTGGCTGATAGGCTTCAGTGATCATGAAAAGTTCACAGATCACATTAAGTTTTCTGTGATCTTTGGAACGATTGTAAGCTCAATTACAATCAATAGTACCTAGTCAAGTTCTGGTATTTAATTTATCTTGTCGCGAAGAGGAACACTTTCGAGTTAAGATGGTTTGGTTAGCATAATCTGATAAGTTAAAACATAAAAGACAAGTTACTAATACGTATCTACTGTCGAACTCAAAACGTCCATATCCAAATATTTTTTAGAGTTAAAGGGGTGAATAGCAAATAGCTTGAAGTGCTAACTTCAAAGCAAAATTTGGCTAAAGGTCTTTCCAATGCCCTTTTACCGCTTTTGGGTGAAGCCATCGGAATCCTCAAAGTTTGTTTAAAGTATGGCACTTTTGAACACTTCCAAGTTTGTCTTTGTCTACACAGAACTCAAATTAACATCGAGGAGTCTCTGTTTGATCAGTCCTCCTGCCGAACTGAAATCGCTTGGAACGGGTTCGCGAATGGAAATTAGTTCTTTCTTTGATACCTACCTACTTTTAATTAATGTTATTCAGAGTGTAAAGATTTCAGGACGAAAGTTATGTTTGTGCCGTGCGAGAACTTGCCGATTCGGGAAAGCCGGTACTAGTGCTAATTAAGTAAAGTAACTCTACCTAATTACGTAATGACTAACAAGTTTGCTCGGTAAAATCATATGGTATGTTACTTTTACTAGGAAATTAAAATCCTTTGAATCTAAGTAAGTACTTACTCGTACAAACTGAATAGGTATGTAGTAGTAAGTAGGTATGTAACTTATTAACTGCTTTAATCTCATGATCCCATCTTTTGCACAACCAAAGAGAATTTGGTATATCTGGGAATCAAATCGAAATCTTTTTACGATTTTCCAATTTTGCGGAATTTTCATTCCCCAGAAGTCTAGTCTAGACGGGGTTTATGCCCTCCTATGTTACAAAAGTCTTCTGCTATTGGAATGACCACAACCTTTGCTACAGGCAGTTTAAACGTTATTTTAAAATTTAAACTGGGAGTTAGTAAACTTTGCCCATCCCACTAGGGATTCGAAAACGGAGGAATCGTACGAACATCAACCATCACGGTTGAGTTTCGCTCTTAACAATCACAAAATTGAATGCCCATTAGCAATAAAATTTATAGCCTGCAATAATTTCCCAATCATGTGTAGTGCTTCCCGACCTGAACGCGTGAATCCCCCCTATCCCTTGGGAAATTATAACATATTATAACGAGTTCGCATCCCTGCCTCTTTTGTCGGTGAATTCTGATTTTTTCATTCATTTTTTCTTTATCATCGTTTTTCCTTTCAAGATCGACTGTCGAGTTTTTCGCGAAATTGGCATTGTTCACGAGCATGCCTTGTGGAGTACAAAAGATTATACGTCTTTGAAATACGTCCGAAATATCTTCGATTGTGATCCTTTGAATTATCTTAATGTCCCAAAGGCGTTCTAAGAGCACCTTGTCTGGAGTGTTTATAGAATTCTGATTTTTGATTAATTTGAAAGCAATAATTAGGGCGTAGGAGTTAGGAATAAGCACCGATTAGTATAAAGCTCTTTTCAAAAGCTAAAAGTTTTGTTTGATTAAGGTAATTTTAACATTATTTATAGTAAATCTTAATAGACAGTAATTGGTATTAAAAGCCAATTAACTTTGTTTTTATTAGGTCCAATCGCATTTAATCAATATCATCAACAGCCCTTTACAGTCCACTGCTGGACTATGAGCCTCCTCCACTATAGTGGAGGGTTTTGCCATAATCTCCACGCTTGGCAGGCGGGTTGGAGATCGCAGTTTAAAAGTTAGCAGTTAATCAATATAGGTAGAGAGAAAGTCAAGATTCCCTTGAAACAGTCAATCAATGCCTCCAGGCTCGTAACGACATTTTCCGGCAAATCTAGTTGCTTAATAAATCCTATTTTCATTTAGCCAAATAATTCCCGTAACATAATACAGTCCTTTATACAAACATTTTAATGAAATACATTTGTACCTCTAGCATGAACAACTTTCGTCTTCGAATCGTTTGCGTATTCGACAAAATTCGATTCTCAACCCTTGAATTAAACGATAATGTGACAATTTTGATTCTCAAAATAAGTTTCGTGCAATCATTTCTCATACTAAGTTCACTTTGCGACACGTTCACAAGGGCGCTGTTGTAGTTTTCGTACTAAATCTTTTGATGGTGGTTCGAATACGCAAACGATTCGAACTCGAAAGTTTTTCGTGCTAGCCGTACTGAAAACGTCAACCTATCGCGCGACCGCTGCAATTTTTCCCTTTCATCATAAAGTTGAGAGCACATGCATCGTTGTACAGACAACACATCAAGCTACGAAGACTAGCACTTTTTGCAGTCGCAATAGGTGCTATATTGCCACAAAATTTATAGTCTGATGTGTTGACTGTACACAATTTGCATTTTGATCAAAGCCAACCGCCGGTGACCGCGCTGACGTCGCTTCGTCGAGACTTGGAAATATTATTCTGGCCATCGGAAAACCGTTAGCGCAACGTGTACGGCGGCAAATTGAGTTGGGGTTAGTAAAAGAACTGGTTTAAACGGGATAGGTATAGGTGGTTTAACAGGTTTGCAGTCAATTTGCAAGGCAATAGCGGAAAAAAATAGTGGGAAAAGTAAGAAGAGACCTACAATGTCATTTTTTCTGATTCTGATCTGATTGTTCAAGTATCTATGTTCTACGAGTAGGTACAACCTGTGACAACTTGTGTGTAAATCTGTTACAACTGCCTTAAGGCAAATCGGACATCGACAGAAATAAAGACAGATTGTGAGATATATCAAGGACAAGACCTTCAGTAGTTACCTAAGAAGAAAATGACCTTTTTTATGGGACAGGAGGAAACGAGCAGACGGATCACCTGATGGTAAGTGATTACCGCCGCCCATAGACACCCGCTGCCCCGAGGGAGTTACAGGTGCGTTGCCGGCCTTAAAGGTATAAGTACACTCTGTTGAAAAATTGTGAGATGTATTGGTCCGGAAATAATGCAAACGACAGCCCATTTCACAGTTTAGTTGTGCGGGGCAGGAAATTTCTGTTTCTGACTACAGTAACGGGACTATTCCCAACTCTCGTTCCCACCGCTGCAACTTCTGTGTAGCCAGGATCTACAGCTTGATCAAAAACCTAACGAGATCTGACTAAGGTATAAAAAAAATCTTACCTGAAGGCAGCGCTTATATGGTGGTTCTCCAGCACAGCTCGATCGTTGTACAACAACGCGGTGTCCGATCCGGACATGACGTGGAAGTTATTGGTGGTGCCCGTATGCTCGAAATCGTGGACGACAGCCGCTACGAGGGTCGCGAAGATCTCTAAGTCCGATAGCCAGTTCTGGAAGAGCAATTTATGATGATATTTTTGGGTTTCGTTGACAAATCATGAGTGAGAAGAGGGTTTCATGGACTAATCATGGGTGAGTAGGGCTCTAAATCTCAAGATTGAGCAATGGCGTTAAAGAGCACCCTCGAGTCTTCACCGCTTATGATATAACTTAAGAAGTAGAAGGAGAGACCAAGGTACGTGATGGTACTATGAAAAGTTTACCGAATTGAGTGATTTGGTTTTGACAATCGTGTTTATATCATAGTCCTCTAATGCAGAAAAGAGCCACAGTAGAGTCATTGATAGAATAGTGGACTATAGACTAAGCTAAGGATAATAAATCTGACACTGGACTTAGGACTTACGTAGGAATGTTTGTATCCTGCTGTACCTTTTGTATATGGACTTGCGGCTGAAGTTGTCAATTTGTTGTGAAATCAGTTACATAAAAATCAATCTTAAACCAACTCACCATGAGCCCAGTTTGGCACAGCATGTAATGCACTGTCTGCGCGACATCAGCCGCGTGCAAATTGTTGTGGTATGGGTTGTGGAACTTGCAGTAGCCGTCTTCTATCCGACTGAGGAAGTTTTCCAGGATCGTGGGAGGCACCTGGGAAAATCAGTAACAATTTATTAATACTAGATGTGCCCGCGACTTTGTACGCGTGAAAATAGTTTGGTATTGCCCGTTTTTGCAACATTTTTCTTTACTGCTTCGCCCCTATCGATAAAATTAAATGGGCTATCCAACACAAAAAGAACACGCAAACAAACTCTTGAACTTTTTGATATTGATAGAGCTTTTTCCGTGGCTTTGCTTGCGTAATTTTCAGTCGCAGAAAGTCCTCCAGTCTCCAAAAAAGTAATTAAGTATGAGTTTTCATTCATATCGCCAACATGAGGGATTCTCCACAAACAGAAATTCCCTATTTCACCTCCTAAAATTCAGCCTATGTAGGAAGTAATCTCTTGTAAGTCTACAAGATAAAATTGATCAAAGTTGATTTAGTAGTTGAGGCGTGAAAAAAAGGGAAAAAATATTTAAATGATTTCGGGATTAAAACAACAAACTGATGAAACTTTCCTTAATTATTGTAAATTGTTTGTGTAATATTTTCTGACTACNAAGGTATAAGTACACTCTGTTGAAAGATTTTAGTTGTATTGGTCCGGAAATAATGCAAACGACAGCCCATTTCACAGTTTAGTTGTGCGGGGCAGGAAATTTCTGTTTCTGACTACAGTAACGGGACTATTCCCAACTCTCGTTCCCACCGCTGCAACTTCTGTGTAGCCAGGATCTACAGCTTGATCAAATTCCTAACGAGATCTGACTACGGTATAAAAAAAATCTTACCTGAAGGCAGCACTTATATGATGGTTCTCAAGCACAGCTCGATCGTTGTACAACAACGCGGTGTCCGATCCGGACATGACGTGGAAGTTGTTGGTGGTGCCCGTATGCTCGAAATCGTGGACGACAGCCGCCACCAGCGTCGCGAAGATCTCCAGGTCCGATAGCCAGTTCTGGAAGAGCAATTTATGATGATATTTTTGGTTTAAGGGTTTCGTTGACAAATCATGAGTGAGAAGAGGGTTTCATGGACTAATCATGGGTGAGTAGGGCGTGAAAGAGCACCCTCGAGTTTTCACGGCTTATGATGACATACCTAACTTAAGAAGTAGGAGAGATCAAGTAGGTACGTGATGGTACTATGAAAAGAAATTTACCGAATTGAGTGATTTGGTTTTGACAATCGTGTTTATATAGATAGAGCCATTGATAGAATGGTGGACTTTATACTAAGCTAAGGATAATAAATCTGACACTGGACTTAGGACTTACGTAGGAATGTCTGTCTCCTGCTGTACCGTTTGTATATGGACCTGCAGCTGTAGTTGTTTATTTGCTGTGAAATCAGTTACATAAAAATAAATCTTAAACCAACTCACCATGAGCCCAGTTTGGCACAGCATATAATGCACGGTCTGCGCGACATCCGCCGCGTGCAAATTGTTGTGGTACGGGTTGTGGAACTTGCAGTAGCCGTCTTCTATCCGACTGAGGAAGTTTTCCAGGATCGTGGGAGGCACCTGGGAAAATCAGTAACAATTTATTAATACTAGCTGTGCGCTACTTGTACGCGTAAAAATAGTTTAGTATTTCCCCTTTTTGCAATATTTTTCTTTACTGCTTCGCCCCTATCGATAAAATTAAATGGGCTATCCAACACAAAAAGAACGCGCAAACAAAATCTTGAGCTTTTTAATATTGATAGAGCTTTTTTCGCGGCTTCGCTTGCACGAGTTTCAGTCGCAGAGAGTTTTTTTGCAGTCTCCAAAAAGAGTGATCAAGTTTAGTATGGGTTTCCATATCGCCAACTTAAGGGATGAAATAACTTTAGTAATTCTCTATTTCATCCCTTTCTAGTTTATTTTCGCGACAATAATAGTTAGCCTATGACTGTAATCTCTTGTAAAGTCTACAAGGTGAAATTGATCAAAGTTGTTTTAGTAGTTGAGGCGTGAAAGAAAGGGTGATAAACAAAATTGCAATGATTTTAGGATTAAAAAAATAAAGTGATGTTTGTTTGTGAAATATTTTCTGACTACTGACTGGGTCTCATAATTTTGGCACTAGGTATTTAATTAGATTTATTCAAAGGTACATCAAACTTTGGTAACTTGATAGACAATCTATTAAACAGCGGTAGGAGTAAACCCGTAAATTGACGTAGTTAGTTGAGAGTTTACCGGACATCAGTTAAACAAACTATTATTAGCTAATACCTAAACTTCACTTTTAGCCTTAAGACCTTTTAAAATTGAGATTAGCCCGTCATTTTCTGAGTTATTTTAGCATTAAAAATAAAAAAGTAGATAATGGTGACAGCGTTTCTAAGAAATTGAAATTCTTGAAATTTTAAATGCTTCAAAGTTTCGATTTTATAAAACCTTCATCAAAAATAGTACACTAAGTACCAACTTAGAAAGATAAATATAATTACTAGCATTAATTAATCAAAAGTAATAACTGTTCTTGTACTATTTCATAGTAATAATGGCAAAGAAAATTTTCCTCTATTCATTAATTAGGTTTCTCGTGTTTGCAATTCCTTGTTGAAATAGATGGATATCTTTAATGTCTTATTGAAGTTATTTGGAGTCCTAGCTTTGTACGACCAGAGCAAAGTTACAACTACTAAGTTGAACTTGTGTTTATCAACTTGTAACATCTCTTTGACAACTTTGATACTACTGAACTCTGTGATATGAATATTTCTGTGTTAAAATATAGCTAATGAGATCTAGAAGCCAAAGGTACAAATTAATTAGCTTTATGGACGTTATTTGCAAGGATGAGTAGTTATTTTTTCACTCAAAAACTATGAGTTCATGGAATAAAACGAGTAGATAAATGAAATTAAAATGGATGAAAATATTTTCACAGCGCCTTTAGGTAATTTCTCTTTGGAAGATTAGAAAGCTTTCTATGCATAAAGAAATATTTTTCTGAAATTGTTTACTGATTTTCTTTAGCTTACAGTTAATAAAATTAAAAACATTATCCATAATCCTTTCTTTCCGCTTCTTCAGCCTCAAAGTATTAGCCGACAATCATTAATATCAACTTATTATTTTATTATCTTTCCCAAGTAAATATTGGGTTTAAAACACAATGAATCTGTTCGCCGAAAATCCCTAAAGGGAAATTCTTTTAAGTTACGACGCTATTAAAACTTTCGCTTCGACTTATGGACGTTGATGATTTTGGAGTTCAAATCTGTGCCTAATATTATGAAAGAATTGTATTTTTTTGTAACAGAAAATGAGGATAAAACAGGACCATTTCCACCTCTCGTTCCCACCGCTGCAAGTCCTGTGTAGCCAGGATCTACAGCTTGACCGCCAATAAAAACCCAACCAGTGTAGGTCAAGTTAAACTGTCATTGGACTCGCAACAAAATTAACCAGAAGAACATAAGAGGAGTTCGAAGTAGATCTGGAGATTTGAGTCTTTACTTTTTACTTTATCTAAGTAGTGGAAAGTGTATTCTATAATCTTCATATTCGAATTAATTTCTCCAAGTCTTCAGATTATCCCCAGCACTTTCCCAAAATTACCTCGAGTTTGCTTTCAAATGAGATCCCGTTAAGTAATCTCTTCGATTCTTTAGTTTGAACGTTAAGTAAACGAATAAAACGCCAACTTTCGTGGGAGCAGCAAGCCGACAAATTGGATTAGAGGCGGATAAATAGAACCTTTTACTTATTTGCAAATCTCGGTAAAGGACCATTTCAAGGTTTCCACTAATAGTGAACATTTGCTTAGATACTAACAAGAAGATTTACTATATTCAACATAATTCTGAAATTCTGTTCTAGCTGCTATACGCTGATCTAGTATTAATTCCAACTTCGAAGAAAAACCATTTCTACACTATTAGAAGCAAAGATTTCATTGTTTGTTTGTATTGAATAGGTTCCGAAGATCCTGGATCGATTTTAAAATTCCTACATTATTTCTTATGAATAAAGGCGGTACGAAGTTCGCCGGGTCAGCTAGTCCATACTAATATTATAAATGCGAAAGTAACTCTGTCTGTATGTCTTGCTTTCACGCCTAAACCACTGAACCGATTTTGATGAAATTTGGCATAGAGATAGTTTGAATCCCAGGAAAGGACATAGAATAGTTTTTGAAAATAAAGTTTTTCTGTGACAGACAAAATTCCACGCGTATTAGTATTTAATAAAACACAACGAACTTTCTTCCGTCAAATCTTGAAGACGCTTTAAATATCAATAGTTTGAAATAAATATAGGTAGATTGAAATCAAAACTCACCTTAAACTTGTGAATCATTCCGTATCTATTGAGGAGTTCGTACCCCAGATACTTGACGGGCGCCCCGCAGGAGGCTTCATGTAAGGCAAACACGTCGAACGACCACTCGTCCAGGGTCTGAAATAAACACGACATTAATTATGATAATATTCGTACCTATCAAATAGTACCTAACTAATAGATATTCTACCGAAGCGCGAACAAGTAAGTAATACAAATCATGCAAGAGCGAATTAAGCGCCTTACTCTCTCTTTATGACCCGTGGTTGACTGGCAGAGAATGCCATCCGGCATCAAGTCCGCCAAAGTGCATTGTATTTATGTGCAGAAGTTTAAATATATTTTAGACATAATTATTTCAAAACAGTAAAATGTAAAGGTTCCTCTACATTTTTTCTCTCAAATGAAAACATGTAAGTAGGTTGTAATAGATTACCTACTGTTGTTTTGTGTATAGAATATTTTACAACATCCGAAACAAATCATTTGGTGTTTGTACGCTCATTACATATTTATTTATACCACATATACATTCTTCTGATGAGAGTATTATAGGGCATTCATTTATGTACGAGTAGATATGCCTTTCATTTCCAGGCTAAATTATTTGTACAACGTTAATTAAGTTTGTCCTCAAAGGTCTACCTTTTTTCTTTTTATAGTGACTGTAAGACGTTGTATAAAATTTTTTGGTGTTAAATGATCCAGTGCTACAAGGTGGACCGACGACATCGTAAAGGTAGCAGGGAAGCGCTGGACGCAGGCCGCTACCAATCGATCAACATGGAAAGCATTGGGGGAGGCCTATGTTCAGCAGTGGACGTCCTGTGGCTGAAATGATGATGATGATGATGATGATGATCCAGTGCTCCTGGAGTTATCATCATCATAATTTCAGCCATAGGACGTCCACTGCTGAATATAGACCTCCCGTAATGATTTCCACAATTCGCTCGCGGAGTGAGCAGTGCCGTAACTAGCCTTTTATGCGCCCGGTGCGAGCTTTCAAAACTGTGCCCTTGAAAAATGCTTGGTCTGGTCATTTCTGCGCCCCTCCAGGGTCTGCGCCCTGTGCCTGGGCACCGCTGGCACCGCCCTAGTTACGGCACTGGGAGTGAGTACCTAAGTACCTATTATTTCATATCTTCACTGCATCTCTGTATTGCTTTAATAACTTTAACTATGTTTAGTATTGTATTATAAATGATTGACTATTGTGCTAAGATTCAAACGATTTAATAATGGCTCTTTTTGGACAGCGTTAAATAATTGAAGCAATTTGAGTAGGGCATAGTCTGAAACTTTCATTATGCACCCAACTTTGAATTTTCAAAGCCACTATTGTTACACTGAAAGCGTTCATTTTAAAATGAACTTCAAATGAAATGTATTCTTTGTGATCTTTACCTTTACACTTTAGTGGTTCTTTGTTAGCATTGTTACGAGTATATTATTATTGTATTGCCAAATGAATCTTTTAGTTATTTGATAGGTCTATGGTAGTTACTAAAAGCGAGTCATTTTGCTGCTTTTTGTAAGTATATAAAAATACATTATAGTTATAGGCTTATTTCCGTTGAATAAAAATGATATTTAAAAAAAATGCTAAAAACTTAACGAACTGTCATCATACAATCAAAGTCAAAGTCCAAAGGACATTGTCAGAAACCGCCTAAAAACCGCCCAAAAACATTAACCCATCATAATTATTTTCTATTTTTTTTAATACATTAAGCACCCTTTCATTCTAATGGACACTTAAGCATTGAAAAATTAAATAAATAAGTCTTTTAACGTTTATTCTATAATACTATTACAANAGTCAAAATTTCTTTATTTGTTTGGACTAATAAATAGTTCTTACAAATCGTCATTTTGCTCTTAAGGAGCCTCTACATGTCTCATAATCTTTTTACCCTACCAGCGCTTCGAGACCAACATTTGGCAATCATGACGAAATGTAAGGCTGAGTAGCACCATCTTACTTTAGCCGTAACTATAACAAAAACTGATGATATTTGTATGGAGTTTGACAGATTTTTGACGTTATTTAAAGTTAGAGTAAGATGGTGTAACTCAGCCTAAAAAGACATTAAATAGTTTTGTTTCAATTCAACTAAATTTTTTACTCATACTGTCAAAAAATTATAAGGAAGCCTTAAAAGCTTGAGTTCTCATGCTATACCTAATTAAGAAAACGTTTGTGTGGTAATCCTGTACAAAATCAGCGATATCCCTTCTCGGTATTAAAAACTCATTTGTGAAGTATGCAGTAACTTTTTTCTCCACAATCTCGTGGATAATTCCTTCATCCCTAATAAATCTTTTTTATTAATTTACCAAAAACAAACCTTCATTTTTCTCGCAACTTTATTAAACCCGACTCTAATATCAAGCTCATCTAGGCTCTTGTTTGCTTCTAATTGAACCATGTTCGTAACAAGCTGGGTTTCTTGACAATTTTGAGCTTTAACACGAAGAAAATAAGGACTGTTTAATTTTGACACTGTAATGAAAATGAGAAATTATCCGCATACCTAATTAACAAGGGACATGTGGTATTGAAACGTTTGTTTTTATCATAATTTTTCCTCAAATAAAATGTCTTTGATCAAATAATTTTTGTACCTAACTAAAAAGATCGTCAACCNACTCTTCGAGTTGTTGTGTCTGTTGAACCGTTGGAAATGATGCTGATTCGATGAAAGCATCGTCATCATCATCGTTGCAGACATCGTCGTCGTCGTCAAGCAAAATGTCGACTCTGGCGACGTTACTGCATGTTTGCCCACTGCAGTGCATGCAACGTTCTAACGAGTTTACAGCCAACTAGATATCGAATTTTTTGCCCAGAATATCGGAACCCTCGATTTACACTACGCACAGCAAAAACTCAACACGATACGGTATACTAACTTGAGCGCGCTCGACGCTGAGCGTGGATTCACCGACTTTGCGGCGCGCTGGAGATCGTAATTTTTGTCCAACATAAAAAAATCCAAGAAGGAAATTGTAGGTCTGAATATGCTCTACAAGTTTGAATTCCACAATTTTTCATATGTATTAAGACCCAAAGAAAAAAAAAGCAAAAAACAAAAATTGTGTCCAAAATTTTTGACTTTATCGATCGATATCACGATAACGTTACTGAGAGAGTAACGGCGTTATTGTAGAGCACAAAGAAAGCTACAAAAAGTGTCCTACAAAAATTTTCGAGTCTCATCGGATAGCCGAGTTATTGCCGAAAAACAAATTTTAAGCGTTTTCCAAGATGGCGGCGAAAGCTCCCAGGAAAGCTTGGTCGACAATCTCAAATTAAGCTTTTCTAGGTATCCCCTACAACATATTAAACAATTAGAAGCGCAAATTCATTTTCTTTTATTTGCCTTTTTTTCGGACGAAATGACTGGACTACTGAAAGAAACACNCGAAAAACTAATTTTACCCCTTTTTTCAACATGGCGGCGAAAGCTCCTAGGAAAGCTTGGTCGACAATCTCAAGTTAAGCTTTTCTAGGTGGGGATACCTACATATTAAAAAATTAGAAGCGCAAATTCATTTTCTTTTTTGAATGTACGTAATGACTGGACTACAGGGTTTTTGATCGACTAGACAAACTTTAGCAAAGTTTGTAAAGCGAAACACCGAAAAACTCCCTCCATAGCAAGTGGACAGATTCGCAACTGGACAGATTCTCAACTGGACAGATTCTCAGGTGGACGGATTAGCAACTGGACAGGACATGTACAGTCCATAACATAAAAACAACCTCCTGTACAGTAGTTTGTGTAATATTAATTTGAACCTATATCATGTAATGCATTATTTGAATAAGCTAGTGACATAGTATAAAGAAGGGAAGTAAGTTATCTTCATTCAAACGCACCGCACGCTTGCGCGCACGCGGCTTGTATGAGTGTGCCATACCTTTTTTAGGGTTCGGTAGCCAAATGGCAAAAAACGGAACCCTTATAAATTCGTCATGTCTGTCTGTCCGTCCACTGCTGAACATAGGCCTCCCCCAATGACTTCCACATCGCACGGTTGGTAGCGGCCTGCATCCAGCGCCTTCCCGCTACCTTTATCAGGTCGTCGGTCCACCTGTGGCTGAAATGATGATGATGATGATGATGTCTGTCCGTATGTCACAGCCATTTTTTTCCGAAACTATAAGAGCTGTACTGTTGAAACTTGGTAGGTAGATGTATTCTGTGAACCGCATTAAGATTTTGATGCAAATATAAAAAAATAATAATAAATATTGGGGGCTCCCCATACCTACTTAGAACTGACTCTCAAAAATTTTTTTCATCAAACGCATACGTGTCCCCACACGTATCCTACCTATGGATAGATCTTCAAAAATGATATCGAGGTTTTTAAAATATTTTTTTTCTAAACCGAATAGTTTGCGTGACAGACGCTTCCAAAGTGTAAAAAAGGTGCCCCCCCCCCCCTCTAACTTCTAAAATAAGAAAATGAAAAATCTAAAAAAAAACATGATGTACATTACTGTAAAAACTACCAACGAAAATTTTTTTGAACGAGATCTAGTAAGTAGTTTTTTTTTAATACCTCGTAAATCGTAAACCGCTTATTACCGCGTAATCTTTCATACAAATAACTTAAATTTAAAAAAATCCCAAATCAATGGTACGGAACCCTTTGTGCGTGAGTCCGACACGCACTTGGCCGGTTTTTTTGTTTATACAGTTATTTAAAAAAGAATCGAAAATCGTTGATACTAAAATAAGTAGAAGTTCTTATCACTGTTATTTACTATGACCACCAACCTCAGATCTGATTGCGTTCGAAGATAAACATACTTTTTGTGTAGCTAACCTAAGTATCATTACGTGTCCGTCCATCGTATGGTACTTAAGTTATGCGAGGCATGAAGAGTTTACTGCTCCAGCATCCTTCCTTAACTCTATAATTATTGAAAGGTATAATTGTGAAATAAATATTTTTATTTGAAGAACCAAGGATGAACCTTGGATTAAAATGACATTTCCATACCAAATGACAATTTAAGCCAGAGTTCAACTAGGGTGTAGCTTTTATTAATAAAGGGGTTGGAGTTTTATTACTTCTTAAGGGTTTTATTATGGGTTACTTAAGCGAATAAACCCACAAGACCCAATAAGTCCACCCACAAGATGGACCGACGACCTCATAAAGGTAGCGGAAAGGCGCTGGATGCAGGAGATGCAGGCCGCCACCAACCGGCCATTGTGGAAATCATTGGGGGAGGACTATGTTCAACTGACGTCTTATGGCTAAAAATGATCATGATGATGATGATGAAAGCGAATGAAGGACTAAATAGCTTGGGTAGTTCATCGTAGGTATAATCCTACGCCCTTTAAAATTGTATGGCTATTGGAGCGGGTACCACTTTCCATACATTTGTGCCCATCATCCTTTGTCCCGGTATTCAAAAGTTTTTTTTTTTACTTATATTTGTTTAGTTTTATTTTCTTTAAATAAAGTCTTTCAATGTATTAAAACTCATTGCTCATGACTGTACTCTATCCAGTTGCTAATCCGTCCACCTGAGAATCTGTCCAGTTGAGAATCTGTCCAGTTGCGAATCTGTCCACTTGCTATGGAGGGGAAAAACTCTTCTGAGATCAGGCTAACGTCAAAGTAGGTGGTAAAGTAGGTATCTAAGTGATTTGGTCGACAACACACAATTTCAAATATTGACACCAAGGGTGAGACTGTATTAGTAGTATGTACTACCTAACATAATGGCACAGCAATTCATAAGTGCCAAAATACTGGTCATTTAATAAAATATTTTTGACTTGATTTGATAACTGACTGAGGACTACTGAGGAGCCAGCACTGCAAAATTTTCATTCACTGAACCTTTTCTGAATATGTATTGATGTGGAAATTTATTTGCACAGCATACCTAAACATGGAAAACGTATTGTCGTGCGTTTTAAATGCAATCTTTAACGTTAAAATTAACTCTGTTAAATGACTCTTTCTTTCAAGGGTGTAGGGTTGCAGCTTTAAGTTTCAGGTCACATTCCTCTTTACTCTATGCCCTCTAATTGGAGCGGCCGCTACACGTTGTGTCCGCGTAATTGAACGCTCGCCGCACGCCGCATACAAACGCTCTTGACAGGATAACAATGCAGTAGCCCTGTATACATACTCGTATAGGCCTGAATACAACGCACAAAGCGTAGCTAATAACGAAGGATATGGAAGAGATAGATCAGCGTTATCTACGTAAGATTAGGCAGTTTCGATTTTCTGGTTAAGCACCACGATAACTGAACAACACCTCACATAATACATTTACTTTTGGTAAATTAACGAGTAAAAGTAAAAGCCGTGTGGTGACGGCAGAGTAGAATGCATTTGTCACCAACCTCCCGCGGATGTCGTAAGAGGCGACTTAGGGACTACACATCAAACAGAACAGGCAGCAGCGCTCTTTGAAAAACATCAATCTTTTAAACTGCGATCTTCAACCCGCCTGTCAAGCGTGGGGATTATGGCAACACCCTTCACTATAGTGGAGGTGACTGCAGTGGTCCAGCAGTGGACTGTAAAGGACTGTTGATGATGATGATGATGATGATGATGAAATTAAAGAGGGCCATCCTCCTGCAGCTTAAATGACCTAATTATAGTGAAGATCTTACCTTAAGAACTCTAACGACATCCTGTGGGAACTGCATAAGGGCGGTACTGGTCACCCTCCTGTAGATCCTGTCCACGAAGATCCCCGCCCGGATCGCGTGCGCCACCGACCGGAACTTCGGCTTCTCATCGGACTTCCGCTTCGCCGTCGCCAGCTGCCTCGTGAAGGTAGACGCGAGCCACTCTCGCACTTCCGGAGGAACTGCATCAGGCTGGACTTCCGATAGCTCATCATCTTCGTCCGCCAGTCTCCTGCACACACCCCAAAAGTTATGTTAGAATTTTATATAAACTCTATTGGAGTCCAAAGCGGACGCAAGCTCTCTCATAAGCATGGTCCTAATGATATAAAATTATAGTCCGTGGTTTTGTTTTTGGAGAGTTGGCATGGTCCCATCGAAAGCTGCAAAGCTGGAAGATCAATCACTAGTAACGGTATAATATTAAATTCCAAAGATACTTAATTAACTTGTTATTAACCTCTTGAGCGATTAAAAAATTCTGTCTAAAGTCTAAAGTTTTAGGAAACAGTTAAAATTGATTAAAAATAAAAGAAAGTTTGTTATTCTTCTACGCAGATTAGTCCAGATTGCAGATCTGCAAGCGACGTTGCATTTAAAAGCTTAAGTTTATGATTTGCTCATTAATAAAATGAATACAGAAGAATAAGAGCTTTTTGAAAAATCGTATCGCTGGAGAGGTTAATTATATTATTCCATATTTTTCACTTTCCCCTAATGTTAACAGTAAGTACGATATTTTGCTTACATACCTACATGTAAACAATCAGTAGATCTAAAACATTATTTCATTAAGTTAATAATACATTAGAAATGTTCAACTAGATCTAATTTTAATTTAACTATACTAGTATACCTATTGTGTTCATTCATAATATTGTTAACATTCTAATTATTTTCAGCTACGTCTAGAAGTATTGCTATAAATTAATTTGACTATAGTTGGTGAGTTCCTTGGAGAAAGGTTATTTCTATTCCAAGTTGAAGTATTTTTATTTGCTGGAATTAAATCTCGTTACTGGAAAAAAAGTTTTAAAATAGAACAAGATCGAAGTACTCTCACTCGGTGGACTGATCATTAATGAGAATAAATTGTTTTGCAATAACAAGTTCCTCTTTATTTTCAATCAACTAAGTGAGGCTTCATAAAAGGTATTGCATTATCACTGTAAAAGCCTGTCAATATAAACACGATGTTAATAATCGTTAGTGTCCACAAGATTTTAATGAAAATTCAGATTTTCAATTTTAGTATTTATAACAGCCGATTAAAGTTGAAAGTAGGAGAAAGAAGAGAACATGCGATACACAATGAAAGAACTAGCCTAGATGTTCGGGGTACTTACATGCAGCGTGCTCAAGAAGTATCAGAATTGGTTTGAAATTACACTGCTCTCCACTATACGACAATCGTTATAAAAATATTAAGAACTGGATTTTTTTAGATTTTATTTATTTAAAGACTTTATTGCACACACATAACAATGTTCCGTACAAAAAGGCGAGCTTATTGCCATAAGTCATTCTCTACCAGCTGACCTTTTAATAGGCTGGAGATGAATTGTCAAAAATAACAATCGGTGAAGAGACGCTCTCATTCATAAATGTTGGGCACACGGGAAGAAGAATCAATTGGGAAGAAGTATTTAATTTTAATCATATTAACTTTCCTGAAAATTTGTTTATGAGGAACCGCTGACACGTATGACAAAATAAATGGCTTTAAAAGAACGCTATGGTTCTAGATCTATGGTTAAAGATCTACAATTGAAAATTGATGTTGATTCAATAACTTTAGGTGTCATCAAATCCAGTTTCTAAGTAATGGTTTTATTTTTTAAAGGAAAGCAATGTTTCAATTTCAAACCAATCGCACGATGACACAAGCGGGGTTTGTTAGATGCTCAAGGTTAGCAAAGGTTGTTTAGTGTCCATTACCACTTGAATAAGACAGATTATTGAGGTAAAGAGCTGACGTGTAAAGGTGGATTGTGAAATTCTTAAGATTATCGCCCTTATGTATGCTCACTATATCCAGAGTCATTGTAACTCGATCGGGTTGATTCCCTGATTATTTAATTATCCAGATTTTCGGTTTTGGTCTTTCTTGAGCTGGTTAGGATTTATAGGAATTTCCCCATTTGAGTTATCATGACAATAGTGTACTTAGTGGACTTGGCGATAACCTTTATTCAAGTAGCAATAGAGTCTAAAATAACTGGTAACATCGACACACCTAAACACCAGGGTTGGGGCCGACTGCTGGCGCGCCACTGCCGGTCTAAAATAAAAGACGACGTCATTGGGACACAGAATGGGATTTTTTAAGGATTTTGGAAGGTCAAGACAAACAACATTTATTTTGACGACCGCATAGTGTTATCAGTTACATTACATTATAATACAACTCTATTAAATTTAATGAAATGACGTATTTTGGTAATTGTTGACAATAAGTCAATAATATGATAGATCATGGAATATGGATAAAAATAATAGTAAGATGTATCTGATAATACTACCCGGACTCGCAAAAACAACACCATTGAAACTGTGTGGGCAATAATAATAGTTAAGATAATAAAATGTATAAAGAAACTAATTAAAAGTGTATAATAAAATATTTTGAAGATAGTGAAATAATTAAGAAAATTTTAAAATTATTTAACGAAGAAAATTTAAAGGCCTCTAGGCCAAGAGCTTAAAAATATCATATCGTAATAAAAATAAAAATGAATAATACATAAAACTACTTAAATATTATTTTGAATAACAAAAATAACTTTATTTATGAAAGGCTAAAATAAAAATTTGCAAACACACAGTGAAACAAAACACGATTAAGCTTAAATGTATAAGATGAACCTAAGGAGTTGAAATATTTACACATGCCTAGGACAGGTATAGATGGCAAAACGAAGACAGGGGACGAAGACAAGTCACAAGGTTCAAACGACACACGGGGCTATTCGGAAACTAGTCTAGACAGAGAAAACACTATTCTACTTGAGAACAAGTAATACAGTTTTAGTATTGATGATGACATAAGTCAACTGTTACTTGTTCCCAAAGCTGTAGGTGAAAAAAAACCGACAGAAACCCAAAAAAACTCATGTCCATCAGTTTCGAGTATAAAAAACCTCCAAACTGATAGAAACGGCAAACAAACTGAAGAGACAGTGTCTAAACTACCAGGAGAACAGGAAATTGAGACAGCTGATGAAGCTCAACAGAACAGAAAGACCTAGCACAGAGTGGACAGAAGGGAGGCGCGACTACTTGGCCATTGTCGGCGTTGTTGTAACGGTATTAACTTTGCTTCGTTCGGTTTCTCTACTGAGCATCTGGCCCAGCAAGGCGTGCGCAGGCGTCGCATGTGAAGCGTTGTCTGCTGCGCCCGCGGCTGCCCCTCGTCACGCCTATCCCTGCATTAGAGAGAATCACTGGCGGCGCGACGCGCGTCCTGATATAAACACGCTAGAACTTACGGGTGACATGCTTTGAGTCGAATGGAAGAAATAAAATTTAATTCATCAATGCCGGAGCATCTTAATTTCTGAAATTTGATAATTTCAGTAAGATTGTACTGTACACTATAAAGTAATGAAAAGAAAATATAATACTGAGATACAAGATGAAAGTTAATTATCTGAAGATTGAATTAGCCCTGAGACAAATTTTGTTAGTGTAATAGTAGGTACCGTGAGTTAGTATTTTAATCAAAATATCTGTTTAATATTCCAAACTACACAAAGGGATATTCGCAAACGTAAAACACATTACAAAATTAATATCGCGGCATTTCCTAGGCTTCAATTCAAAGCTCAGTAATTAAATTAAATATTTGTGGGGATTCGTCTGCAGCGAGAACTTCAAAGGTATTGAAACCCCTGAAGGTTCTACATTCGCTTTGATTTTATTGCTTGTGTGGAAATGACTTAAGACTTCTGCTAATGTTACAACCGGAATAAGTGGTTACGCGATACTCTTATTGGTATAAGTTAATAAAAAAATACGAGAAGACTTTGTTATACCCTTTTCAGAATTCAATTCAAATTGGGACTTGAAATTTCACGGTCTAAGCCTGAGGTTACTATTAAGTTTATAGCAAGTTTTTAAAATCTAATATGCGTAGGTAAAGGTCCAACTAGTCTCAAAACAACGAAATTTTTATAAGTTTGATTTTGTTTACTTTTGGAGCCATTCATACGATATGACAATTGTAAATTCATTTGCGACACGCTTCAAAAATATACGTTTACACGCATGAATGCGGAACATATTATCAACAAACCAAAATATGGTGAAAATCCCAGTACCCAATATCTTTTGTCTTGTACAATGATCGACCAAATACAAAAATATAGGGCGATAAAAGTTTTTGTTCTCCTGTCGTCGTTTCATTGAGATATTATGATACACGGGCGCAACAAAGGTTCTCATCCAGGCATAATTCATTTGGTACAAAAGAGCCGTTTTGTTAAAAATAAAAGAGTATAGGAGAGGAAGGGAAATGGCCGAAAATGCGGAGTATATTTTGCTGTTGTTACAAGGGTTACTAAAATGTATTGAGTATATTATGAACAGCACCTTCGTGGGTAGAATTTTACCTTAATTAATGCCAACCAATTGTTAAGATCTTTTATTTACGAGTAGTAGGTACGCACATAGACATACATAAAATAACTGCACTCATGTTTCACACAGCTTCTTAGTTAAATGTGCATTCAAAGCAAAATTCAGTATCTATGACGAATTAGCATAAAACATAAAACACACACAGAATATCTGATAAACAGAGTACTCATCTGGATACAGTTTCAAACGGGCTAATTTGAGAACTAGCATTTCTGTCCAATTAACTGCATTTGTGTGCAAAGCGAATAATCCTTTGCAAAGCGGTCAAATACGTCGGAATCCATCCGTAGTCTGGCCGTTTACCAAATGCCTGGGCAATGCTGACTTTGTGCAGTCAACTTTACTTTATACACAGTCTGGGAGACTTGATTGAGAGAAGCCCATTTGAGACTTGATTGCTGAAGTTAAAATAGCGTAGTTAATTGGAAAAAGAGATAATATTGAAATTGATTTGCAGGAATAGTTTTAAAGCGGGACCTTAACTTACTCGTATAAAATTAAAAATAAATGCTATTAGGTTCCGTGGATACATTGAGGATTAAAAATTGATTAAATTATGAATAACCGATTTTCGACGGTTAAGCTTTTGTACCTAAACCTAAGCTAAGGGTTAAGGGTGAAAGAGCTTTCACTGTCACAGCGGTGGAGCATTGTTTGCAATCACAAATTATATGAAAATAGCATTGACTAACGCAAGGGAACTAAGGTTAGGAGGATTTTATTGAAAATGAAATAAAACTGATATTTATTTAGTCCAAGAATATTACAGTACATGATCTGGTTACTGTTACATTCAGAATAAAAACGGATTACAATTTATACAGTAAGTGTGTACTAACAGCATCACTGGACTCCACACTAGGATTCCCTGTGTCGTGCAGACCAGTCTTCCTATTGAAGTTTCGAGATAAAGTGCGTGCATTATTATTGAATGATCAAACGAACTTACCAAGTGAAGTTCGATCTAAATTATCCTGTTTTCGCCGAAGAGATTTATTTTACCATGTAGTACCCTGTACGACAAGCCAATCCGCACACAATATTCAGCGCAGTAGTAGTAAAAAACAAAAGAGCGGGCAACCCCNTAATGTTACTCGTACAACCGGAATAAGTGGTTACGCGATACTCTTATTGGTATAAGTTAATAAAAAATACGAGAAGGAATTCAAATTGGGACTTGAAATTTCACGGTCTAAGTCTGAGGTTACTATTTAAGTTTATAGCAACCAGACAGATTTTTAAATCTAATATGCGTAGGTAAAGTTCCAACTAGTCTCAAAACAACGGGATTTTTATCGTAATCATGAACTCTCAGTTTGATAAGATTGATTTGTTTACTTTTGGAGCCATTATACGATGTGATCATTGTAAATTCATTTGCTAGCAAAAATATACGCTTACACGCATGAATGCGGAACATATTATCAACAAACCAAAATATGGTGAAAATCCCAGTACCCAATATCTTTTGTCTTGCACAATGATCGACCAAATACAAAAATATCGGGCGATAAAAGGTTTTGTTCTCCTGTCGTCGTTTCATTGAGATATTATGATACACGGGCGCAACAAAGGTTCTCATCCAGGCATAATTCATTTGGTACAAAAGAGCCGTTTTGTTAAAAATAAAAGAGTATAGGAGAGGAAGGGAAATAACGAAAATGCGGAGTATATTTCGCTGTTGTTACAAGGGTTACTAAAATGTATTGAGTATATTATGAACAGCACCTTTGTGGGTAGAATTTTACCTTAATTAATGTTCCAACCAATTGTATAAAATATTTTATTTACGAGTAGTTGTTGACTATAATAATTGATTGATACGTAAAAGATACTAATCATAAAGTCGATAAAAAAACTGAAGTGACATTGCCACTGAGTTATAAGAACTGATAAGTAAATCGTTAAAGCATAAAAGTAATGAAATTCAAATTCTTTAATGCGTTATTAATGGAGACAATGCGATTCAATTGCGTGGAAGACAGAATATGATACGTACCTACATAAAATAACTGTAATATACATATTTCACACGGCTTCTTAGTTATACGTGCATTCAAAGCAAAATTCAGTATTTATGATGAATTAGCATAAAACATAAAACACACACAGAATATCTGATAAACAGAGTACTCATCTGGATACAGTTTCAAACGGGTTAATTTGGGAACTAGCATTTCTGTCCAATTAACTGCATTTGAGTGCAAAGCGAACAATCCTTTGCTAAGCGGTCAAATACGTCGGAATCCATCCGTAGTCTGGACGTTTACCAAATGCCTGGGCAATGCTGACTTTGTGCAGTCAAATTTACTTTATACACAGTCGTCTGGGAGACTCGATTGAGAGAAGCCCAATTGAGACTTGATTGCTGAAGTTAAAATAGCGTAGTTAATTGGAAAAAGAGATGATATTGAAATTAATTTGCAGGAATAGTTTTAAAGCGGGACCTTTACTTACTCGTATAAAATTAAAAATAAATGCTATTAGGTACCGTGGATACATTGAGGATTAAAAATTGATTAAATTATGAATACCCGATTTTCGACGGTTAAGCTTTTGTACCTAAGCTAAGGGTGAAAGAGCTTTCACTGTCACAACGGTGGAGCATTGTTTGCAATCACAAATTATATGAAAATAGCATTGCTTAACGTAAGGGAACTAAGGGTAGGAGGATTTTATTTATTTGCTTCAGGCTCCTGCCAGTTTTCAGAACCGCTATCGAAATGAAAATATCTCGTAAGTTAATCTGATTAAACCAGTTGTTTTTAAATATTTGCTTAATGACTATCCCAACTATATATATATAATATTATAAATGCGAAAGTAACTCTGTCTGTCTGTCTGTCTGTCTGTCTGTCTGTCTGTCTGTCTGTTACGCTTTCCCGCTTAAACCTCGCAACCGATTTTGATGAAATTTGGCATAGAGATAGTTTGAGTCCCGGGAAAGAACATAGGATAGTTTTTATCCCGGTTTTTGAAACAGGGACGCGCGCGATAAAGTTTTTCTGTGACAGACAAAATTCCACGCGGGCGAAGCCGCGGGCGGAAAGCTAGTATCAAAATAAAGATTAGAAATATTTATTGTCGCAACGTTTCTTCTTTTGTTCCAAACCTACGTTGCAGAACTTACAGAATCCATAATAATGTTTTAAAGTTCTTTTGTAGCTAACGCCCGTATTCACAAACATTTGATTACATTCATGATCATAGTTATGTTTGTGAATACGGGCGTGAAGCTTAAAAGCTAGAAACGCAAAAAAAAAATCAAAAAGGACATTTTTAAATTTTAATCCTTTATACGTTTGTAGATTCCCGTCATAAATATTAGTTTACCTCTAGTCAAGCGTTCACAAAGGCAAGGCTGTCAAAATAACTCCTTTTCTCAGCCACAGTAAATCACGTTAGACCCAAATTGATATACCTGCCTAATCCGACATCCAAGGTACAGCTGTGCATATTAGATGGGCCACACTAAGTGTCCTGAATTTTTAAGATGGCAACCCGAATCGTCTATCCAAGTAATCTGGTACAGCTCATTGGAAGTCAATTTGTAAAATTTTCCACTCTGTTCTATTTGTTTAGGTACTTGAGCTGGCCATTTTCATTGAGTATTGCTATCTATATTTTGATTAGCAAGGAATATTACGTTATTACAATGTTTTTAAAGTTCATATTAGTGCAAAATGAGTAGGTACAGGATTTCTTTGGTTACCATCTTTTCCTGTCAGTTTTTTTGCAATGCCCTAATTACGTGTTAAATTTACCTACATCTGAAGTATTTGCAACATTATAATTATTTAGAAGTTAGTTATGAAGTTAGTTTAGAAGGCCATAAGTAACAGAGCTTTAAGCTTCGATCTTATTAATTATTATCATGAAGCCGTAAGTTCAGAGCTGACTAATTTAAATCAGCAAACCCTCTCTAAAAAGGCTTTCAATCTACTGAAGAAATTGCATGTCAAATTGCGATCTGTGTACCTTCAAGGCCAGTCTCTCTAATTACAGTTTCTTTGTAATTAGCTTACCTTTTGGCACTCGAGATGAGAAGCTTGTTTGACGAAAGGCTTCCTTTGCCATTTTCAGTATTTTTCAGCAGGGTTGCCGTGAATTTTACGGCTCATTCTTAGAAATTTGTATTACGTACGTACTTTAATAATTGCACTTAACAAATAGTCAAGTTTTGACATGTAAGTATTTTTTATATTACATAATGAATGGTATAGGTATGGCTCGAAAACTATCAAAAATCGCGGAACATACATGGGGGTAATTTGGATAGCCCTAGTGATGCTCTACCTCTGGGCTTCGGCTTAACAATACTTTTTGGGACACCCTGTATAGTAAAAACATACAGTTTTAGAATTATTATAGCACGTCTTATTTCATGTGACTAGGTATTTTACAAAAAGCTCAGACCTCTTCATAGGTAAACTAAAAGGATTTTATAGCGCTATTTTATTTATATGGAAACACAGTTTGATATTCCATGATATCGAAATTAACATTATTCATACAAGTAGATGGATAACAATTTAACAAAGCAAGAATTACAAAAAAAAGTAAGAAAAGGTAGCTGCAGTCATATTTTTTGTGATGTACCTAGGGCAGTATTTTACCTGTAAAGTGCGTATCCAGAAATAAAAAAAGTCTTGAGAATTACTCGTATTATGAAATGCTCCGACATTGATTTCTAAAGATTGAAAGCGAAAATATATTAGTTTAAGCCATTAGAAGGGTTAAGAAAGAGTTGGAATAGAAACGAAAANCCCTAGTACATGGGGGTGATTTAGATAGCCCTAGTGATGCTTCGGCTTGACAGTACTTTTTGGGACAACCTGTATAATAAAACATACAGTTTTAGAATTACACGTCGTCGTCACAAAGCACGTCTTTTATTCCTATTTCATGTGACTAGGTATTTTATAAAGAGCTCAGACCTCTTCATATTCTATTATTTATGTGGAAACACAGTTTGATCTTCCATGATATCGAAATTAACATTAATCATACAAGTAAGTAACAATTTAACTAAGCAAGAATTACAAAAAATAAGTAAAAAAACGTAGCTGCAGTCATATTTTTTGTGATGTAAGGCAGTATTTTATCTGTGAAGTGCGTATCCAAAAATGTAAAAAGGCTTGAGAATTACTCATATCATGAAATGCTCCGACATTGATTTCTAAAGATTGAAAGCGAAAATATTAGTTTAAGCCATTAGAAGGGTTAAGAAAGAGTTGGAATATAAACGAAATATCGAGTTATTGGAATCAAATAGAATTTATATCGACGACGTAAACCGTTTGGGAGACGGATACGATCTGAAACATAAATGTTATGAGAGGTTTTCTCGATTTATCAAAATGTTAAACTCGATTACGCCCCGCAAATCGATTCTATTGTCTTTATACATATAAGGAAAAGGAGGTCGGTTTCATGACGGGATAATCGTAATAATGTTTGCCCAATAAAAAGTATTTTTGAAGATACGAGAGCTTCGGATCTTTTTCAATTCAATTACTAGAATTGAATTCCTTATAAGAATTATCGGATGAAAATTACATGGAGTAATTTTGCTATTATTACACTTTGCTATTTAAATAGCGGTTTAAAAACAAAAATCCACTTCAGTCCCCAAAGTAACAATACTTTGTTCAAAAATTCCGTTTTACGATGTTTAGCTCTCACAATCGTAAATTTTTTCGATCATAACCATAAAAAATGTACATAAAACCGACACGACAATCTGGACAAGTTAAATATCTGACAATGTTTATAAATCTCGTTTAAATTAGTATTATGTAAGGTTTTAGAGGACTTTGAGGAGCGTAATCTGACTTCAATAATGAAACCACTTTGTCAAAGGACTGAGCTACAAAGAAAAAGATAATACATACTTGGTCTCATCTATGTACACGGCTTCTAGAACTTTCGCTGCGTACTGAAGGTTCTTTTGTAATGTCTCTGCTGATATTTCACCTCTGTTTAATTGTCTTAGGAGATAGCGTAATCTGTGGACAAAGAGATGAATAATTAGTTAAGAAATTGTTGCCCTAATCTGAATATTAGAGGCTTATAAATAAGGCTCCGGATGAAGTATCTACCGATTGTGATAAACTGTCTTAAATTTCTCATTATTAACGTTATTTGACACAGAAATACTGCTATTGTAGGTAACTATGGGAGTTTGTGTAGTTTCTAATTTTTACATAAATGATTTTCCTTCAATACCTATTCAATATCTTCGTTTTTAATCTTAACTGTAACATTAACGCAGTCTACACACCAAACTCGCCGATCCACCTTTATGAAGTGGTCGACTTTTGATATTTTTTCAAAAGTCATAAAATGTAGTCGATGACATGTTTCTTTTTAAATACCTAAAGTCACAGCAAGTTAGTCAAAGCCGGGCTGTCAGTGGGCTTAAGATGAGTTGAACCCCCTGATTTTAACCGTAACAATTACATTAACCAGTGCTTTTTGTATGGAGTTTGACAGATTTTGACGTTTGTCAAAGTTAAAGTAAGATGGTGCAACCCAGCCTGAATGTGTAGACTGTAGAGTCCTTAAATCTTACTATTTAAGTGATATATAGTTACGACCATAAGTAGTTACATTTCTGTTACAAAATAGCTTCCAACTAATATAACCACTAATTATAAGATGCCATAGTGTTTATTTTGATTTGCTGTCGTCCGATAAACTAATTTTTATCATCTCCACTGTGTGAACTAAATTTTTAACTATTGACAACTATGTATGTACCCACATGAAAAGTCCTTTGAAACCGCTTCACAACTGAAATTAAAATTCACTGAAACTATTTCAACGTTGAAACTCACAATATTATGAAAGTTTTGCGGCTAGTTGACGAACGAACTTCTGTCTGAGTACTTCTTAGAATTGTAGTGTCGGTATGTTTGCCAGGAACGACTAAAATGTTGCCTAGAACTGTAGAAAGGCTTTCAATACATGGAATCACTTCATGTTTCATTCTAACTAATATGTAGTCAATGAATTTTACCTGTAAAGTCTCGAAAACTTCTATTCCAAAGAACTATACCCGTACGTTATTATTATACACCAAACATAATTCAAAAGAAAATTGTTTGAAAAGCTCGAGGGAAGCTCAAGGCTTGCATTTGTAATCGAAACTGAATTATGAATCTTCTGCTTTCTTTGATGTCTGTTAAAATGCATTATACACTTTGAAGACACCCTGTATGCAATTTAGTGATTCCATCGCAACGAATTCGGCCTACTATAAATTAAAATGGGACATACAATCGCAGCCGCACATTCGCTAACAACTACGAGTATTTACGACTGAATCCAGATGAAATATATATTTGCGTTGGTGGAAAATGAAAATTTCGTTTAAGCACTAGCGAAAAGAAAATTATGAATTTTCAGGATTCTATTATAGTTCAATTATTAGTTCGCAGTAATCTAATAGGTATTAATATCATTGAAATGATACCTACTTCATTGTAAATATGGAAAACTGAGACTAGGCTTTTAGTTATTCTGAAACAATATACAATTATTATAATTATGTAACAGCTGCAATTTTACTCAACTCAAAGGATTTCCAACAGAAAAATACTCAATTGTACTTTCAAAGAATCTTTTGTGAATGGAATTACGGTTCTTTATTTAGACTTGTGTTATGAAGCGGTCTCAAAAATCTCTGCAATATCTAAAAGTACATTTTTTCCCTAAATGTTTAGTCATTTATTTAGGGAAAAAAGATCTCGTCGCAATAATCGTTCAGCTCACTTTGTCGTGTACCGAATAGATTCCCTTATCCAACACCTACAATATTCAGTTCGCCCGTGATGCGTATCAAGAGCTCACCTTTGATGGTATTTCGATAGTGAAGGGAAGGCTAGATTGCTTTAATCTATCGATAGTTTTGTACTATGTGCATGGATTATAATTTGTTGCAGAATATCACTTACCTATTTTTGTAGGTTTAGTAGGTAAATAGATATCAAGTATTTGTATTTATTAAAACAGTAATTTTTGCTCATAAAAAGCTACTGAAAGATCATCGGCCCATCATGCCGAATCCCAGAATATTTTACTCCACCTTTCGTTAGTTCTGCAATAAATGCGGTCGACTTTCTCTACTACTTTACCTTGCTACTTATAGATAATTTTAATTATTTTAGTCTTCTGTCACATGACGTGGTTCCTCATTAAAACTCTTAAGTACCGTGACGACGGCTACGATATCTCTCGATATATGAATAATGTTCATCGATGGTCAAATAATCGATACTTACACAACACTAGTAACTGTAATAGCCCTCAATGGACGTTAAGGGACTCCGAGTGCGGGCCGCGGTGATTACTATTTGTATTTTATTATATGCTTGGGACATCCCCAATTGGATTTTTATTGTCTTTTTCAATTACTTAATACGAATGTGAGCTCTTTGCCGTATACGATTAGATTGTTCAATTCGTGTATTTCTTTGTATTTCAATGCTGCGGAAAAGTGCAGCTTGTTTTTATTTGAATGTACCGTAGAAGAATGCCGGTTGTTTTATCTGAAACTGTGTCAAACGTATAATAACTAAGTAGTTTTGGATATAAAAATTCGTATCCATTTTGCTTCGCAATATTTTTATTTCCTCGTGAAACATGCAGCTGTTCTTTCAACGCCAATGGGAATTTCGAGATTTTTGTGTACATTGTATTTTACAGTTTACGCTCGCGGGTTCTGCGGGCGAACATATTTTGATAGGATTTCATTTGCAATATTAATTGAAGTACGGCGCAATGTAATTGTATTTTCCGTATAATAATGGTTCTTTTAAAAAGAGCTTAGATAAATATCGTTAAATTATTGAAATTATGAAGTCAGACAATACCTTTTAATTAAGTAGGCTTACGAATGAAATCAATATTAATTTTGATATTGAATATTAGTGACGCTCTCACGTAATGTAGAAATCAATGAAAAATTTTGTTTGATTGATTTATGTAGATCAATCAATAGACTGAGAATTCGTTCGGAACGTTAATGGTCCTGGGTTCATGTCCCATCTGAAGCAGTCTGTCTGAAAAATCTTTTCAGATCAGATTATAATGGCAAGCTTAGATATACATACCTATTTATTTATGTATTTACCTATTTATTTATTTATGTAGTTTAGCTTAATTTACTCGCTGAAAGTCAGCGTTCGGAGACGTTCGAGTACCTATCTCGTTCTACGATGAGGAGGTTTTATTTGACACGAAATCGATTTATGTCTTTGTTTTAATAAAATCCATAAAAGATTAATTTTATGCAAATAGGCTTTTAAAATGCGCATTTACATGTTCATGTTAACCCTGCAACTGCTCTAGGATAATAAATGTACCTACCAGTGGCAGTGGTGAGAAGATTTTTTTTTCATATATTTCGTCAAAATAAAGATTTTTATATTCTATTCTATTTAACAATTCATCCCGGGTGTCTCACAATGCACATCTACAATCAATGCGCTAGATCAAACGTTCGAGCCTGTTACGTCCAGTTCACTGATATTACACGAGCCATCATGGCTGCCTGTTACAATTAGATGTTGTAAATACTAATAGAGTTAGGCTGAGTTGCACCACCTATATTTAACCGTATTAGATCGTTTCATCCACGAATACGCGCCGTATTGTAGTGTTATGTGTGCAGTTATGCAATCATGAATGATTTTAGCGTGTACCGATAACACTCAAACATTAGCGGAAGAATGGTGGGGTGCATCTTCGTGGATGAAACGATCCATAACTGTAACAAATACCGGTGTTTTCTGTATGGAGTTTGATAGATTTTTGACGTTTGATATATTTAAAGCAAGATGGTGCAACCCAGCCTTTGTCAAATCAATGGTATTTAGCTAGCTTTTCCAAGTAAGTTTTGTACCTATAAATTGAAAGAACTGGCTGTCTGATTGTAATTGATAAACACACAACTTACTTTACCACGGTCTGCGCTCAGAAAACTTTGAAACCAAGTTAGTTTCTGCAGCGCTGAGTACTAAACACACAGTAAGGCTGGGTTGCTTGGTCTTACTTTAACTTTAACAAACGTCAAAAATCTGTCAAACTCCATACAAAAAGCATCGGTTATCGTTAATGTTACGGTCAAAGTTCGATGGTGCAACTCAGCCTTAGTAGGTATCTCTCTTTACATGATGCTGACAATTCTATTTAAACTAAATAACTAATAACAAGTAGACCAATCATCCGAAATATCAATCAATTTGTTCAGTGACGTCGTCTACAATGCTCAATGAAGTGACTTTGTTATACTTGAAGGTATTTGCTACAAATCAAACAGTCAACTTTGATTGTCAATTTTATCGATATAAAGTTCGAATTTTCCCGAACATTCGAAGATTTTCTACAACTTTGTAAAGCTCTCGTTCATTTGGGAATTCGGGTCTCGCGTCCATCGTAACAATAGGTTAAATCAAGGAATTCAATACTCAGGAGACAGGATTACGTAATTTTGACTACTAGTAACTAAGCGCTCTACCTATTTATAAATTATTCTATAATTGTTACAATAACATTTTAGTGATGTTCTTGTTACTATTTTAACAAGTAAAAGTGCAGTAAGTAGGACATTATCCGTGACTTAATTAACTGACTATAAGTAGAGTAAAACTTCAACCACACCAAGTCAGCGCGATCATAGACAAATGACAGGTCGCGCGACCCATGACAGTCCGCGCGACCTGTCATTGGCCTATGATCGCGCCGACGATGGCGATCTGCCCGCGTTGGTGTAGTTGAAGCATGAAATAGTTCTTGAGCCCCGGAGTTTCTCTACTTTGTAGTAATGATAAATTATTGACACTAATGACTCTCGTCTCATACTCATTTTATTCTATAGTCTCTAAGGTGATGATAATTTCTATTTTCATGACCGATGTTTTAAAAATCTTGTATCTTAATTTCCGTGGTACTTTTAAGAAGGTAGGCAGATAACGGCATATCAAGATACAGCAGTATTTAGTTGCTTTTCAACGAAAATGTATAGTTTGATGAGCTGTTTGTTATCTGTACCTACCAAAAAGCTTCATAAAATGTAATTCCCGGGTATCCCAGTTCCCCTTTTTCAGTGATATCAAGCAGGATAATTGACCTTATCTGACCTTATTTCGCATAAAATTGATACTAATGAAGATATTGGCCTGGAATGTTCTTCAATATGTACAATATTGAACGATATTGCTTTCGTAACAGAAATAAACTTGACTTTTATGTTATGCATACCTTTATTAAATAGTGAGTATATTGTGAACATTCTTTGTGTTCAAACACGTCCGTCAATCGTACTCAATGTAAAAAGGTGCACCGAAAAGGTTCACCAGTCTCCAGTGCATGAATACGACTCTCTCTCATTTTCTAGAGTCAGATAGAGGATTTAGCCTATCTTTACCCTCACACAGGCCAGAAGGGTTAAGGTGGCCGCCCACACACAAGTCAGAAAACGGCCTAAGAAATATGCGAACATCATCGCATATTTCTTAGGCCGTTTTCTGACTTGTGGGCGGCATACGCGGTACGGAAAGTTTACCGAGCGCCTATATTTCAATAGAGCGTTCCTGATTGGCGCGGCATGTGCGGCAGCGGTGCGGCACAGACTCAGAACAAGACCGCGTATGCCGAGCGTGCTGATTTCGTGCCGCTGCCGCGCCGACAAGTCAGAAAACGGCCTTAGTCGCCTCTTACAACATCTACGGAATGAGTTTGAGAGGTTGTCTTACCTAAGGGCGGCCTTATCGCAGGCGTCGGGCGTGTCGACGGCGGGCAAGTGCTCTGTGTCAAGGTCGAGCTGGTCAAGCTGCTCGTCTGTGGGGGTCGAGCAGCTCTCGGTCTTGCTTCGACTGGACGACCGGCGGACTATGGTCAGGGCGCCTTGTTCTGTTGACAAAAAATAAAAAAATTAGAGCTTGCTTTGGTAATTTATGTAGGTGCGGGCTATAAACAGTAGTTGAATGGTGAATAAAATCCTGCGTAAAAGATTTTCATAATACAACAAATATAGACAAAATAAGAAAAAAAAATATAAACATGCTGGTTTTGAGAAAAAACTTATGTCTGGTAAAAATATGAAATGACGTATTTACAATCTTTATACATTTAGATAAATACCTACATGCTCTTGACTACACGAGTATTTTACGCACCTAAGTATTTTATGACGAGACTAACGCCCGTATTAACAAACGATGCTTGCTTAAGTGAATCAGCAAATCGAACGCACAGCTTTGAATGGAGCTCTGTGATTGGTTCGTGTGTCACCCTGTGCGTCCCCTGTGCGTCCACGCGCACTGGGTGACCTCATAGTAATGTTTGTGAATACGGGCGTAATACATATAGCACTCGAGGGCGAAAAAATTTCGTCTCTACCAAAATCTCTTTGTTTTTAAATGTTTTATGTAACCTATATTCTTAAACATCTTCACCGAATAAAATACATCTAATTATGCAAACACAATTTTATACGTTTTTAATTTAATTTAATACGTTTTTATTATGTGTAAATCAGTTTTTAGATTTACCGCAATATACTCAAGGACAAGGAAAACGGTCCTGTATTCATGAGGCAAGAGGAAGCAAAGTTTGTTGCTCAAGTTTGGAAATGTCACGTTCCCATTTACCTCTACATACTTGACTTTTATCGCCTATTTAATTGGGCATCGTTACTATTTTCTTGGTTGTTGTGTACGTTTTCTTTATTTGATTTATAAAGAAGAAGCAAGAAAGAAAAAGTTTCAACAAATAAAACTAAGTAGGTATTTAAGAAGGCACCAAAATAGCATAATTATGACATTCGCTCAGTATTTAAGACGTTACGGCAGAGAAAAATAATCCTAAATGCATATATTTTATTTTATTTGGAAAATAAGTATACAGTGAAACGCTAACAGCCAAATAATATCTGCTTCAAGAAACTATACACTATAGTCTATCCAATATAGCTTGATTAGAATGACGGCTGTCAAACGAATGTGACTAGTGATGGGTATGTTTCGTACGGTTCACATAGATGTATCGATAAGTTTTCGAAAAAATGATATGAAAAAATGCACCCAATTTTTCTTCATATATCTTTATTCATAAAAATGACAATTATGATTTAAATTTAAAGACAGTAAAATTTAAAATTCATGTCAAGGGTGTACAACCTAAGTCGTAGTCATTATCATCAGTGTTCTTCAGTGTTTTTTTCCTCTCGCTAGAGGGCGGTGGGCATCTCTTCTAAAGCAACGGTGCTATGAATACCCAAAAAATTACCGGTGATTGATTTCCGATGTTTGATTATTTAAGAATGAAATGTTTTTTGGTTTTTAATAGTGAACATTTAGAAAAACGTATAACTTGACTTAAATATGTTAAAAAAATTGTTAAATATGTTAAAAAAATAGTTTTAATTTAAAATGACTTAAAAACAAAAATTTTAAAATTACTAATGATAAAAACTATTTACAAAATAAAAAATACTTCACCCCCAGCGCCGCAGTCAGGAATGGTGCCCAAAAGGCTGGCAGCATTGCCACGTTGAATGGCCAGGCTAATTCTCTGGCCGAAATAGCTGCCAGCCTTTTGATCACCGGTCACCTCGGTGAGCCTCTTTGCCAGTTCCTTATAAAAGGAACGAGCGCTTGGACCCCATGGTTTTAATTTAATATGACATTTGTCGATATGTCCCAACACTAACATTTTTGTAACTCGAGATAACCTTGTAGAGACGTCGTTAATACTCTAGCTTGATTTTTATAATTTCGAATTACTACTTATTGGTGTAATTTAACGCTGCATTTACACGAAATTATCATTTTTATTGGAAGCACTGTCGTCGAAAATATTGTTTGTAGGTCAGACGTGAATTATTTCTTGTCCGCCAATATTTAGCTCTCATTGATCGCTACTACAAAGTTATGTCGTTACTTTTGATGACAGCTGTCATTCTAATCAAGCTATATTGGATAGACTATATTCACATTATTTTCGTATAAAAGACAAAAGCTTACGCTTCCACGCAATCTGTGCACATGTCGTGACAGCTTTTAATTAAGGCTACACTATAAACATTGTGTATGTCTGTTAGCTGTCCTTAAATAAATAATTAAAAAGCCAATGTGTAATCACAATTATTGTTTTGTACACCGTCTTATTGAATTCATAGTTCAATTCCAGTATCGTAGAAAGACCTCGCAATAGCTCTTCAACTAGTTAGACGGAAGGTAATAAACATTGGCGAATGTATGAGTGGGAAGCATGAATATTTAGCCTGTGTCATCGTTGACAAACAAACGCTCGTTTGCCGAAGCGTTCGAGCGTTGCAGCTATTTATTGTTTAGTTAAACGTAAGCTAGAATGGACAATTATTGGTCAACCACGTTATTGCTGTTAGCTGTGGAATATGATATGAACCATTAGTTTAAAATATTTTTGGCAAATAAATCTACACATTAGATACGAAGCAATAAGTATTTGTGTACATATTTAAACATCCATTATTAAGTAATACATTGTCATCGCAATGAAAATCATAAAAATAAATTAACTTCAATATAAAGTAAGAAATAGAGTAAGCGTAAAAGCTAATACATTATGCATTTTACGATACCTATAAAAATACAGACATGAAATGAAAGACAGAGAAAACATTGAAAATACATATAAATCAAATGAGTAATATCTGTTCTATACATAAACAAATACAGTTTATCAAACACGAAGTAAGCAACAAACATCTAATAAAAAACATAAAACTTGTAAAAGAGACGTAAAATGAACGCAATGTACTATGCTAAAGAAAAATATTTACTCGCGTATAAGAGAAAATATTGGCCAAATGAAGATACGATATTTTCCGAAACCGTTTCAGATGTTTTTTCTTTCAGTACTGCATTATACAGGTTGTCCCAAAAAGAATGTGCCAAACTTGAGAAGATGAGACCATCTATACAAAAAAAGAAATAATAAGTAAAAGTATCACCGTTTCAGAGATATGATTTTTTTCATGTTTAAATCCCCTATTTTGAGCCTATCTCTTGATGCTCTGTGTACAAATGAGCAGATATTTTTCAAGACGAAAGAGAAGAGATAGACTCAAAATTGGTGCTTAAAAAAACATGATGATACTTTTACTAAATATTTAAAAAAAAATATAAATCATAGTATAGTTTTATTATCATAGTAGTAGTCCATTCTCCGACCAGGTGTTAAAACACCACCCATTTTCCGGCTTTTCCAGTTGACCAAGAATTTTTCTAAAATTTTTCTGTGGATACTTGACCTCTATTTAGAAACATACTAAAAATATATAAAAATTGACAAGGATAAAAAGTTTCAAGAGTATCTGGGTTGAAATGGTCATCGATTAGTCTATCATCTCCACAAGTTTGGCACGCTCTTTTTGGGACACCCTGTATACTGGCGTTTTTGGTTGGCTACTTGTTTACTTTGCAAATAAACAACATGCGGTATACGAATTAAGCCTGCAAAATATTTATGTATCGTTTTATTAAGTCCTGAATTCGGAAGTACGAGTAACTTTGATAATAAATTCTTGGTTTTGGGAGAAGCTTTTTTACTGCAAGTCGTAATAGATATCTCAAAATAATTGATGAAATCCAATAAAACACTCAAGTGAATAGGTATTTTTACCTTTTTTGTCCTTCAATGTAAAGTTTTAAATGTTCAATATGATTTACAGTTACATATCAAGAGTTGTCCATTCAAATATGAAATCGGGGTCATTACATACAAATGCATAGAATGCTGTCTATACAATCAAGTTCTTGTAGTGTATAGTCGACGTTAACAGCGATAATACCAGTACACCTTCAACTCAACAATCTACGGAAAATCTATTACAAAAGAAAACATTCAAGTTTTACGACGATAGAGTTCAATTATTTTGCCCACTCGCTTGCTTTTACAGTGCAAAATAGTGCATCCGTTTCGTTGCCTTTTTGCTTGAAGCCGGCCGTTTTAATGCACGTATCCTTTTCAAATACAGCGTTCAATGGATACGGAATATTGGAAAACTTTAAATAAGAGCTTTTAAGAGACAGCAAAGGCATTGCTAATTTTACTGCCAGCTTAGTTTTTAGCAGGGATGTTACGGATATGAAGTTTCGGTTATGTATACGGTTACGGATATTAGAATAATATTATGTAACCGGTTTCGGTTACGGTAACGGATATGAAATTATTTCGGATTATCCGAAACTTTCGGATAATGACGGTTACGGATATTATAATTTTAAAAATGTAAAATTCAAATAGCAAGATGCCGCGCAACCCTTATAGGCTCTCTACTATGATAATGGTAAAATAGGCGGGGGTATTAGATTGTGCCAGGGAATGCCAGACAACTTCAGACAAATTATATTAAAAAAACATTCACTCCGCCTTTATCCGAAACTATCCGAAACTTTTGAATCGGTTACGGTTACGGATATTTTTTTATTTCGGATATCCGATAGTTTCGGTTACGGTTACGGATATCCATAACATCCCTGGTTTTCTGGCGGTCAAGCTGTGAATTCTGGCTATAAAGGAATTATAGTTGTGGGATTTGGGAACAAGAGGCGGTCAAGTTCTATTGCTCAAGTTTTGAGCGACTATTCGGAACACAAGTAGGTCCTCTAAATGGTGATCAAAACTCCATTTAAACTTATGAATAGATTTCGGTTTAACTGTGATTGATAGAGTTTTAATCCTCCTAAATTAATGCGAAGGTTTATGTGGATGCTGTATGGATGTATGTTTGTTATTCTTCGACGCAAAAACTATAAAACGGATTTAAACCACCACCACCTTATTTTAACTATAACAGTAACGTTAACCGGTGCTTTTGTTTGGCGGAGTATGACAGATTTACGTTTGTCAAAGTTAAAGTACGA